TTTGCTTTGCCTTGCGGGCTTTGTTTTTTAATTTGCTTTGCCTTGCTTCAACTTGAGTTTGCCTGCCGCTTGTTATGTTGATACTTTACGGAGGGGGAGGGGAGTCTCATTTCAGGGGTTGAGAAAACAAATCTCGCAAAATGGCATTCAAGGGGATAATACGATGAAGGGGTCGTTGGCTGTGATGACTATGCATGTCATTTAATGTTGCACATGGATGCTTGCAACAAGAGGGCTTTCTTGAAAGCGGTCGAGCTCCCCGTAAGCACCAACCAAACGGAAGGGTCTCTCAATTTGGACACCCAAAGTCTGGGGTCATTGTTTTGACGGTTTCTGGTGCTTATCAAAGTCACAAAGTGGGGGTGTTTCCCTTTAACCCACCATGTACGGGGGTGACTTTGATCATGGTAAAATAATGAGGCCAGGAAGTGACTTTAGGTTAGGATACTACTGTGGATGGACAAAATCCATTTCGCACCACTTTGAAACCGCACCACTTCGGGGAAACATGAGAACATTGTTTGTTGATATTGACGCGTTCCAAGGTTTCTGAACCGTGGTGCGAGAAGCGGATTTCGCAACCATCCACAGTAGCTCGGGTTTTCTCACGTGCCCGAGTCGCTGAGGCTCACCAGGGAAGAGCCGGACATCTGCATCCCTGGCACGCCGGACCGAGTCTTCGAGGCGCGGGCCATATAAAAATTGGCGCCCAGTTGCAGCCAGTGTATTCCGCCTGTTTTTTTGCCAGCTTTGTTTTGGGGGGCCTTGTTGGGTCCTTTAAACTCAACCAACCGAAGAAGGATTCAGTTGCACGCTCCTGCCTATTGGGTTTAATTCATACTTTGCGCCTCCCCTTAGCGGGACGGCCTGATTTTTGGCTTCGGCCGGGATGCGGGCTCCACTCACTCCAATTGGGGGGGTGGGGTCTTGAGCAATGTGGCGGAATTAATTAGAGAAGGATGCCTTTTTCTTCCGATGGCCAGAGTGGGGGCCCGCGGTTGCAACTTTCTCACCCACCATGTGAGCCAGCGAAAAAGCCCAGCTTGAATATGCGGTTTCTGGGGGATGGACATCATCTACCGCTGTGAGTCCCAATCAGACAATTGATGAGGATGGAAGCAACTAAGTGCTCAGCCTCCCTTTCCAAGAAGAACATAGTCTCTTTCAAATCCTTCAAATGGGTTTCGGTGCACTTCCATGCTTTTTTTTCATGGAACGGTATGTTCATTCTACGCTCTGAGAGCTGTCAAACATTTAGGGTTTTTGTCCACGTGCCGAGCATGGAAGATCTTGAATCTCATTTGTTTTGTTTTTTGGCCTGCACATGTGTCATAATTCGTGCAACCCGCCCAAGCCGTTTCCGTTCGACAGCAACACCAAGTACCATGCTTCATTTTGTGTGCAGTTGTGCATTGAATCCAATTGACTTTGAATTAATTTCTCGGGGTTAGAGGGTGATTCATCCCTAAGTCTCACTTCTTCGTGGTTCCATGTTCGATTTTTCTGCCACGGCGCCCTGCCAAAATCGGAGCTCGGGTCCCGGCCTCTGGTCAACTTGACAGGAGGATCAGGCTGAGCTGGCCGCATCCGACGACGACCGGCCGGCCAAGAAGGAGATGGGCTTGCTCCGCAGACAGGCTTCGGCACGTGCCGTGGTGAAGAAAAAGGGTGTCCGAAGGTCGATTTTTGGGAGCTAAAGCTCGAGTTTGGGGAGCTTTCGGAGAAATCCGGGGAAATTCCTTCAGGAAGTCACTGGAATGGGTGTCCAATGTCCAAAGACTTAGTGAGGTCCATGTGCTACTTTTGGTTGAGAGATCTCAGAAGGCTCATCTGGTTGGCCCGCTGAAGCCAGCTCATGCCGAGAGTTTGCCAATTTCTCGCGGCGGCTGAATGGCTTGGAAAGGAAGTCTGAGGTCAACGAGCCTATGTTTTCTTTTCCCCCGATTTAGCTTTTTAGCCTTTTAGCGTTTAGTGGTAGTTTCCATTTAGCCCACTGAAAGTTAGTCACCTTTAGCGGGGGATCTGAAAACGGGCAGCCCATGTTTTAAATCGGAAAACAAATGTATGGTTGCTGCAAGCAGCTACAGTCAAGTAGGCTAGTCGCATCAACTTGGCTTGATTGTCACCCTGTCGTTGGGGAAAGCAAAGAAAAGCGGGGTCGCATCGATTTTTGAACTTAGGTTGCGTTTAGCATGTTTTGTTCTTCTTCTTTTTTTGCTCGAGTCCTTTGAGAGCTAGCCCACAAGCAGCAGCAGCAACAACCAAAAAAACAACCAGCAAGCCGCAACCATGCCCAGAATCAACATTATAAGCAGAACACACCCATTCTTCGAACAGTTTTTGCAGAGCAGAAGACTCAGAACGGCCGTTGTTCTTTGGTTTAGACTCCCTGAACTTTCCAGCCCCGCCGTCCAGTGTTCACATCAGTAGATCCCACGCCAAACGGATGGGGGCACTGGGGGCATCCCCCATTCAACTATTGCAAGATGAAACAACCTCGTGTTTGCCGAGGTGAAAGGACTTATTCTTGACTGCTATGGGGTTGGATCTTTAGACTTTAACTTTTTGGGACATCAAGGGGTTTTCCACTAAACCCACAAACAGCTAAACTTTTTGGAGGGGGGTCAACAGCAACAAAGTATTGTTTGGTCTCCGGCCGAGGCGACAAATTCGAGAAGAGCCCGGTGTCGACTTTGGAGGCATGGGCAGGCGGGCCCAGGAAACGGTTCAGCTGGAAGGTGCGGGACCGGGGCTGACGCTCCAAATCGAGCTGAAAGGCAATGCCCGAGAGTTCAACCCCCATTAAAAGAACGGTTGACCCAAGTTGGATGAGATTCCTGCGGTAACAATGGTGCTTATATGGACCCCCGTCGTTCTTCTGGTGGTTTGAACTCCAGGGAATGGAGGATGGCTGTGGGTCAAAACCGTTTTGGGATCCCATTTTGGTTGGTAGGTGCACCACCCATTTTAGAACCTGTTTTAGTGGGGATTGGGTCCCGTTCACTGGGGGTACGATTTGGCTGTTGACCCATGACCATATCCTTGAGCATTGCCAGGCAAAGCAGCACGTCACATGGGCTTGAAGCGCAGCCTTAGACGGATTCATCATGGTCCGGGGAGTGCCTGAATCAACGTAAACACACGCGCAAACCAGGGGCATGTTTGGCACCAGGTGTGTGAGATGTGGCAGGTTCGGCAGGTTCGAGCAATGCCGGATTTCAGCCAGCAACTGGATTCAGCTACTCACCCTCACGAGAAGCCAAGCCCACCTTCTTCAACGACGAACATCCCGCGGATTAGCAACTAGCGCACTCCCGCGCTTCAGCCAAGCTCCTTCGCTGCAGCCCAAAGCCGGCGATGAGACCAAAGCCATGCGATGCGGCATCAAGAACACGATTAATCTGCTGCGCAGATGCAAACAACTTGCAAGCTTAGACACTCGCACACACACTTTTACACACTTACACACTTACACACTTACACACTTACACACTTAAACACTTACACTCTTACACACTTACACACTTACACACTTACACACTTAAACACTTAAACACTTACACACTTACACACTTACACACTTGCACACTTACACACTTGAACACTTGCACACTTACACACTTACACACTTACACACTTACACACTTACACACTTACACACTTACACACTTACACACTTACACACTTACACACTTACGCACTTACGCACTTACGCACTTACGCACTTACACACTTACACACTTACACACTTAAACACTTACACACTTACACACTTACACAGTTACACACTTAAACACTTACACACCTACACACTTACACACTTACACACTTACACACTTTCCCACTTACACACTTACACATTTAAACACTTACACACTTACACACTTACACACTTAAACACTTAAACACTTACACACTTACACACTTACACACTTACGCACTTACCCACTTACACACTTACACACTTACACACTTACACACTTACACACTTCCACACTCAAACACTTACACACTTACACACTTACACACTTACATACTTGCACCCTTACACACTTGCACACTTACACACTTACACGCTTAAACACTTACACACTTACACACTAAAACACTTACACACTTACACACTTGCACACTTGCACCCTTACACACTTGCACACTTACACACTTACACGCTTAAACACTTACATACTTACACACTTACACACTCACACACTTACACACTTACACACTTGCACACTTGCACACTTACACACACACACACCACACCACACACACACACCACACACATACACACGCACACACACACACACACACCCACACCCACACCCACCCACACCCACACCCACACCCACGCGCACGCGCACGCGCACTCGGAGACACACTCGGAGACACACTCGGAGACACTCTCGGACACACACTCGGACACCCACACTCGGACACACACTCGGACACACACACACACACACCCGGACACACACTCGGACACACACACACACAACACACACACAACGCACATGCAGACACCCACGCAGACTCACGCAGACACACAACACACACGAAGACACCCACACAGACAAACACAGACACGCGCACACACACACACACACACTCAGACACACACACACACACACGGACACACACACATACACACACACCACACACACACACACCACACACACACACACGCAGAGACTTACTCAGACCCACACATACACACACACACACACTCGTCACTGCGTGCGTCCACGCAGATGAGAAGTGCTTGAAGCATGTCTGCAGAGAGTGATAGGCTTGTAGCTACTAATTCTTTCGATGAATTTATTAAAGCTATCAGCAACAAAGAGGAGGTGCGCTCACATTGCCATGCGGCAACGTCAACGTCTCCCGAAGAGATGATTATTTTTGTGTTGATCGTCTGGACCCAACGCTCAGAGGAGCCGAACTTGTCACCAACTCGCAGGCGGTTCTGGTCCGGGCTCGCCGGTGAATGCTGGCAACACCGTGACCATGAGCACCAGCGACATCGAGGGTGAGGCGGGTTCGAGTGGTCAGCTGCAGAGACTGAGGTTGACGGTGAGACAAGAAAACCGGCTAGAGATGTTTTTGACTGGGTTAGACTTAGGATCTATACATTATACATTGTACCAGTGACTCAAAGGGATGTAAACAATAGAATATACATTCCATAACTGGGCCTATGTGGCCTAAGTCAAATCATGTTGAGTTTGTTGAGGTCAGGGGAGGCTCGATGCTGTGGCTTGAACTGTCCATGCGCTATGCTGCTTGGAGAAGGGGTGTGTGTGTGTGGAGCCCTTGACTTGAATGAAATAGCCATGGGCAGCTGCCAACTGCAAGGCGCAATCCCAGCATAATGTTGACCCAGGACTAATACACCCGTCGCACTATTAGGGGTTCTGTTCCCTCCAGAAAGTGATGAATCCCCACTAAAAAGGGGACACCCCCCTATTAATCAACCAGGGGTTTATTAATGCAGGGTTAACATTACCTTCGTTTGCCTTGCAATGCACATGGTTTCCTTGCTACATGCCGTCACGTGGTTCATGCCAGGATGCGAAGAAGAAGTTCAAGCTGGAGAAGACCAAAGTGAAAGGCGTCAGGGACATTCTGGAGGCTTGGATCTGAAATAAATGTTACTCACCTCTTCGCCTGCGGTGCGAACTGCGAACTGCGGCTCTTCTTCTCCCAGATGGTCAAATATTTACCTACCGCATGTGGTCTGAACTCGACCCTACCACACAAGTTCCCAGGCAAAAAACAAGCGAATCATCGCATGTCACCGCTTGACCTTGCGGTGCCTCCAAGGCCAACACGGACCAAACCGGGTCCAAAACCCCGAGGAGGCTCCACCACCTCATGGCCAAAGCCGCCAGGCGACCTGCAGGCGACCTGCTCCGGATCACCTAGATAACCTGCACAACCTTGCCACCCTTCCTGAACAATAGCTCAGATTCTGGCCCGTCCGGTTGATCAGGAGAAGCTTCACCTCATAGTCCTCATCGACAACGCCCTCACGCGCAACAAACCTCAATGACCGAAGCTGCGCCTCTTTCATAACCTCGGAGCTTTTGCTCTTGCCCTTCCACGAGTCCTCCAGCTTCTCTTCCTCCGGCTTCGCCTTTGAGCCAACGGCCTTTTGACACAGTGCACCCGCCTTTTGGCCTTCTGGCGAGATCTCCTTGTTGGATGCCCCATCCCTCCATTGCTGAACGTTTTTCCAGGAAATAACACAGGACGCAGCGGCCAAGCTGGAACCAACGGCCTTGGTGTCCGTCCCCGTCGCTCCATGAGCCGACTCGACCTGAACCTGCAGCTCCCCAAGCTTCTCAACAGCATGGTGCTGCGGCGCCCTCAAAGCAGCAGGACCAACTTGTTGCTATCCTGGGAGTCGGGCTGTCCTCCGCGCATCGTCTCGAGACGCTGCGAAACTCTGATGCAAGCGTCGCATCACGCGAGAGAGGAGGCGGCAGGCTTTCCCGCCCGCGGATCTGGGTGCAGGACCGAGACCCAGGATACATTTTACATTTTATATACCAGTGACTCAAAGTGAAGCAAACAATAAGATATACATTTTATAACTGGGCCTAACTCTATCCATGGTAGGTTATGGGGAAAGCCGGCCGGATCGAAGGCCGTCCAGTTTTTTCACTGCCAGACCTGTGAGTCAAGCCCTGTGCTTCGCTGGAATCGCGGCTGGTGTCGGTAAGGAACCCTGGAACGATGATTCCCCTGTAAATTCCAAGCAACAATGGCTTTCCCACGGTTTGAGGGTGCTGCGAAATGGATTTCGCATTTTTTTCTTCCGGAGCCAAGGAGATGAAGTGGAAGAGTCAGAGCTCCTCTGAAGTGGGCAGATGCCGCAGCGCCGCCAAGTTGATTGCAACCCGGCGCATTGGCATGCTGCATCCGGTTGAAAGGTACTGGCCGTGAACCATGGCCTCACCCAAGGGAATAGACATGCTGTGCACATAGGTGTCCGTTTTGGTTGTTTTGGCAAAGAATAACTGGGCCTGGTTTACCCCAAAAGGACACCTATGGCTGTGGATGGTTGCGAAATCTATTTCGCACCACCATTCAGAAAATCTGGAATGCTGATTCCCCTGTAAATACCAACAATGGAGCCCCTCCATGGTTTCAACGTGGTGCAGGATTTCGTCCATCCTACCCCGGATTAATCAATCCCAGCTTATTAACAGGGGGGTGTCCAACTGGGTTTAGTGCAGAATCAGACCACTTTTGGAGGGGGCCAAAACCACCCCCCTATTAATCATCAGGTTGGTTGATGAAAATCTGGGGTCAACATTAGACATGTTTTCGTTTTTTTATAGCTCTTGGCCCTCGGCGCGGCAACCGCGATTGAGGTGGGCAACCCGAAGTTCGAGTGGTCTTGCGCCACGCTGATTTTGCTCTGCGCCATCTTGATCGGCGTTGAAGCGCACTGGAGCATCTCAGTGGTCCAGTGGCACCCGTTTTCCCCCCATTTTTTTTTGGTGGCTGCCCCCCTAAAAATGGTAAAGACCCCAAAAAGGGTTCCCTCTTTTTGTGGAGAAAGGGCACACGACTGAGGCATGGTGAACATTGGGAGCACGCCGCCCCTGGTCTTCCGCATCTTCAACTCCGTTTTCAACGGCCTCTTCACCATAGAGCTGTGCTTGCGCTTAGCGGTGGATGGGCTGTACTTCTGGACCCTGCGGACACTTGGAGCTGATTCCATACGGTGGATGGGGACGAAATCCATAAACCGCACCACCTCAGAGACCCTGGTTTCGGATGATTCATTTCACTGCAAATACCAACAAACAATGGTTTCAACCATGGTTTCCACGTGGTGCGAACGGATATGGTCCATCCACAGTAGGTTTGGGCCGAGAGTCGAGTCGAGAAGCCTTGCTGTTCCAGAATCAGCAAAAAAGCAAAAATCCGCAGACGTTTGTGATGCTCAGCAGGAATTCAGGAATCTGCCATCTGCCAATGGCCAGTCTCAGCACGTGGCAGTAGGTCAAAAATAGGTACCTAAAATGGAACCCTGGTAAATGGAAACATGGACTAAAACCTGCGGTCTCCTGGTGGTTTAATTTTGACCCAGACCCACGTCAGGAACTCTTCCATCCACTGGAACGCCTTGGATACCGTCCTGGTACTTCTGGCTTTGGTGGAGGAAGTGCTGGTGCTGGTCTGGACCACCGAATCCCAGCTGTCAGGCGGCAGTTTCTTTTTGTTTTATCGTGAAGTCTCCGATCCGAAGAGGGCTTATGTGTCTACAAGTAAACATGTGGGTGTGGGTCCAAACAAATTTTTCTGGCAGACCCCAGGTGTCGCTCCTGTTTTTTGTTTTTTTTCTCCAGGGTTCCATGACCCATGTTTGAAGAAAGCCATGTGAAAGCCAAAGGCCGCCGGCCTCAAGTTTGCAGACGCCGTAAATTGGTTCCTACCAGTTTTTGGGATCCTTGTAAGAAAACATTGGGGAGCTGAGGTTCGGTGAACACCCTCAGAGATGTGCATAAGAGTCAACCTTCTTTTTCCGGAGGTGTATGAGTCTACGGCAAGGGGCCAAGGCCATAGGCAGGTAGACCCGACGGCTTACCAGGCCTGTTGCAGTTGTTGAGCTGCAGCTCCACCCAAGTATCAAAAGCACGCCAAAATGGACGCATGCAACACCATTTGGGAGGGTCATTTGGGAGGGTCTTGAGTTCTGACACCATGCGTTGCTTTTGTGGAACCACTGGCCGTAGCCAACAGTGTACCAAGGCGACACTTGTTTTTTTCTCCCAACGGGACAGTGCCGTAAAACTAGAAAATAGTTTGGATGCGCTTTTTGTGGATTTTTCACCTGTTCTTCCCCCTGGTTCTTTTTTTCGCACTCGTTTGATATCCCACATACACGGATCTTTTTTAGCACTCTTTTAATATCCTAGAGGGGTGGAAACACTCTTTTGATATTAATGTGGGCACTTGATTAAAAAAGCCCCCCCCCCCCCTCTCCGGCCCCTCAACAATGGAGGCGCTAGAAAAAAATAGGCTCACTTTTACTTTTGGGACGTCCAAACAATGGAGGATTTTGGGGCCCAACTCTACTTTAGTGTTGCAGGCACTTCCTTTTTGCAATTCTGCTTTAGTATTGCAACCACTTCTTCCTGAGAATACTACTTTAGTATTGCAACCACTTCTTCCTGGGCATACTTTTTGGAATGCTACTTTAGTATTGCAGTCACTTCCCTTTCAGTTCTTTCTGTAGCCATTCAAAGTGGGCCACCAATTGAAAGGGGAATGCTTTTGAGTAAAGCAACTGATGGTTTATTTCTGGGAGGGGGGGCTGGGGGCTTGCAGACTAATGTGGTCCCCCGAAAGAATGACATTGTTGTGGTTCAGTGGGGTCTGTGAGGGGTACCCTTGTCCTGATTGTTTTTGTGCATGTTTTTTTTTGTTCAAAAAAAACACGGTTTAACAAAGAATGTGCAGTTTCAGGGCTGGGGATGGTTTTCAAATTTCGGAGGTTTCAGCTGGCTTTGGGTTTTGTGTTTGAGCAACCAATTCAATTGGGAATGCTTTTAAGCAAGTGGGCCACCAATTGAAATCACATGCTTTTAAGCAAGTGGGCCACCAATTGAAAGGGGAATGCTTGTAAGCAAGTGGGCCACCAATTGAAAGGGGAATGCTTTTGAGTAAAGCAACTGATAGTGTATTTTCTGGGAGGGGGGGCTGGGGGCTTGCAGACTAATGTGGTTTAAAATTGATTTGTGTTTTTTTTGAAGTTTCTTCCGGACGAAACAACTTTCAGTTATTCTGGTCCCATCAACAATGGGGGCGAACCATAATCAGGGAAAAAGCTCTCAATTATTGACTGACCCATGATTAATCGGGTGTTAGCATTATCCAGAGGTGGATCCGCAGATTCGCCACGATCCACCTCCAAGACCCCCGTTTTTTTTTTTTTTCCTTTCTCGCCGCTTCCTTCCGTTGGGGCCGGCGGGAGAGGCCTGAAGATCCTGCGCATGGTGCGCCTGGCCCGGATCCTGCGCATCGTGCGGGTGGTGCGCTTCTTCTCGGAGCTCCGGGTCATGGTGAACGGCGTCATCGGCTCCGCCAAGGCTCGGGAGAGGGGCCGCCGGGCGGAGAGGGCTGCAGTGCCAGGAAGGCCTCCAAGCTTCCATTTGCTTAAGCAAATATGTACATATATATATATATATATTTAATGTTTCCTTGTTGGTTTTAAAAGGACATTATCACTACTGGATATATTTTTTGTTTTTGCCTTGCCCAGTGGATCCTCGCCCTTCTTTTTTTTTAAAGAAATCTTTGCTGGCGAAGGGTTCCGATTCCTTTAAACTCAACCAACCAAAAACGGATGCCGAGTCTTTTGTGCCCATGGAAATCCACTGGGAATGAGAAAAAGGGGCGCCGGGCGGATAGGTTGCCATGAAGGTCTCTAGTAAGGGACAATCCCGACCAGAAATAGCTGCGGATATCCGCCTTCTTAATTCTTTACATGGTTCTGGGTAGACCATTTCAATACCGGGTTTTGATTATGACTCATGTAATGTTGACCCCAGTTGGAATCATCAACCAATCTGTTTATGAATCTTTATGGGGGTGGGGCCTGGCCCCCTCCAAAAGTGGTCTGAATCCAACCACTGACACCAGTTGGACACCCCCTGCATAAACAGGTTGGTAGATTTTTCTATGGGGTCAAGATGAGGTTGCTTGGCCCCTCCACCCCTCCTCACGCCCCAAGCCGGAGCTTTCTTGCGGCCGTTGTTTTTTTCTCGGCCAGTCCCTGTGCTGGGCCCTGCTGCTGCTGCTGTTGGTGAACTTCCTCTTCGGGGTCGTCTTCATGCAGCTCTCCATGGAGTACCTGGCGCCTCGGCTCGAATCCGCCGGATGGGATAGCCAGAGGGCGAACCCGAGCAAAACCCCAATAAAGCGGGTGGAGGGAGGTTAAGGGGGCAGTGGGTCGCTTAGGCGTCGCGCGAATGGTTCGCTTAGGGATCGCGCAAATGGATCGCTCCGGGATCGCTTTTTGCAGAAGGCTTGTCGCGCATGCATGCGTGTTGATATGTTTGCTCGCGATGTATGTTTATATACGCGCATGCGCGAGCATGTATGCGCTTGTTTGTGCTTGTCGGCGTGTATATCGCATGACATATGTGACGTGTATGTTTCATGACATATGTTACTATGTATGCTGGCGAGTCCATGTATGTGGTTGTGTGCATGCGTGTTGACATGTATGCCCTGCGGCGTATGCCCCAGAACCCGATGAATTTGCACATTAGGTTACAGAGCAGGCTGGGCTGGTTCAGTTGAGCGGGTGTGCTTATCATCCCCCCCACCCCACCCTCCACCCCCAGAAAGAGATGCATTTGCTGGGATGAAGCAGTACAGCGGTTGTGCTTATCATGCCCCCATTTCGTTACAGAGCAGGCTGGGCTGGTTCAGTTGGGCGGGTGTGCTTATCATCCCCCCCCCCCCCCACCCCCCACCACCAGAAAGAGATGAACATTATCATGCCCCCCCGAAACCAACCCCCCCCCCCCGCAGAACCATGCTATTTTGTAACCTGGTAAAAGAGCAGGCTGGTCTGCAGCAGTTGAGCGGGTGTGCTTACCAAGCACCCCCCCACCCCCACACCCCAGAACCATGTTATTTTGTATTCCGGAAAACGAGCAGGCTGGTCTGCAGCAGCTGAGCGCATGTGCTTATCATCCCCCCGCCCAAACCCCCCCCCCAAACCCCCCCACCCAGAACCATGTTGTTTTGTAATCCGGTAAAAGAGCAGGCTGGTCTGCAGCAGTTGAGCGGGTGTGCTTATTATGCCCCCCACCCCCACCCCCTCCCCAGAGCCATGTTACTTTGTAATCCGGTAACAGAGCAGGCTGGTCTGCAGCAGTTGAGCGGGTGTGCTTCCCATGCACCCCCCAACCCCCCCCCCCCCCACAGCCATGTTACTTTGTAATCAGGCTGGTCTGCAGCAGTTGAGCGGGTGTGCTTACCATGCCCCCCACAATTCCCCCCCCCCAGAGCCATGTTACTTTGTAATCCGGTAACAGAGCAGGCTGGTCTGCAGCAGTTGAGCGGGTGTGCTTACCATGCCCCCCCCCCCCACCCCCTCCCCAGAGCCATGTTACTTTGTAATCCGGTAAAGGAGCAGGCTGGTCTGCAGCTGTTGAGCGGGTGTGCTTATCACCCCCCACCCCCTCCCCAGAGCCATGTTACTTTGTAATCCGGTAAAGGAGCAGGCTGGTCTGCAGCAGTTGAGTGGGTGTGCTTATCATCCCCCCCCCTCCCCAGAGCCATGTTACTTTGTAATCCGGTAAAGGAGCAGGCTGGTCTGCAGCTGTTGAGCGGGTGTGCTTATCATCCCCCCCCCTCCCCACCCCCATCATCAATGAATGTGATCCCTAAGTGATCCGTGAATGTGATCCTCAAGTGAGCGTGTATCCCTAAGTGACCGTGATCCCTAAGTGAACCGTTTGAGCGATCCCTAAGTGACCTGTTTGCCAGGTTAAGGGATAATCCCCTTGCCGGGGTGCGGAGATCCGCCTTCAAGGAAACCTTGGATTACAACCAAGTTCAATACGTTTTGATTGTGACTCATTAAACAAATCTTGAAGCATTGTTCTGGGATTGCGACCATGGTCAACACGTTTTCTTATGTGGCCCATGTGGTGGTTGTTTTCCTTTGCGCGGCGGGCCCGGGGAAATGTCGGGTTGGCTTCCAGGCTGGCAGGTACCGTCAAAAACAAAATCAAATCAACTTGCGCCCTGAGAACTCAGCGCTGAGCCTCAGGAGACCATCAACCCCCAGGCCGAACTGCGGCAGTACTTTGGCTCGCTACCGCGGACCATGCTGACTTTGCAGCTCGGGCGACACCAAAAAGCCGGCGCTCGCCCGCCTTCCGGTGGGCGAACACTGGTGCCGGAAAAAAGGAACAAACAAGAAGAAGAAAAACACACACACCCGTGGCTGCCCTGATGTCCCGCACACATGCGTTGTGTTTTTTTCTTCCTGGAACATGGCAACACACTGAAAGACTGAAAGATGGGCACTTTGGTGTTGCGAAGGGTGGGAGACCATATTTTGCTTCCGCACACTACAGCTTCCTTTTTTTGGAGGTTTTTCTGGGTGCTTGGTGCTCCGCTGGGACCCAGTGACATGTTTTTTGTGTGTTGTCAGAGGGGTCAACCAAAGCAGTGCCATCGTGCAATCCCAGCCGTGGCCAGTTAGCGCGTGTCTCCAAGGAGTCAAATTTGACAAGGGCGGCTTCTGCTGGACGCAGAGTCCAGATACATGTTCGGAATGGCGGCGCTTTCTTTGTGGAGTGTACTTTTCACGGAACGTTTTTGAAGACCCTGTGATTCACTGGACACCAACAGAGAGGAATCTGCGATCTTGGCCTGAGACGATGTTGTGGGGCAATGGCTGGCTGAGGAAAGACACCGGTTGATGTTGATTGGCGCAGTTGTCCAAGGCCAATCGACCTTTTGACTGTTTGGGTCTCTCATTTTGGTCCATCTCTAGTCTTGGTCTTCCAAGGGCCCGCAAAAACAGGGTCGTTCTTGGTTTGGCTCTTGGTTGAAAAAGGACACCCAGCCAAAGGCAACTGCTTTTTCCCGGTGGAAGACCAAGGTAGCAAAGCCCCCAGAAGGTGAACCCTGTAGTTTCCAGGTCTGAGCTGGGCAGAGTTGGATGCGCAAGGTACCAGGCGATCTCCGGTGGGATCGATTGGTACAATGCCATCGTCACGCTTCTTCCTGTCAGCGAGTGGATGGAGTACATCTTCTCCGCCTACGTGTTCTTCACAGCTCATGGGCTGCAATTCACCTGTGCGATAAACTGGGAGGCCCAACAACTTGTTGGTACCGAAATGAAAAGTAGCACAAGTAGCTGAAATCAGGGCTGACCCCACCCCACCCCACCCCACCCCACCCCACCCCACCCCACCCACCCTAAATGGAAAGCACCCAAACTTTTTGAGTCTGAATTGCAAATTTCTCCCTGACTTTCATGCCTGGGGCTCAGAAGGCCTTTCTAAGGCTTGCCATGGTATCGAGGCTTGCGAGTAGGCCTACATCGAGAGGATTCCGGTAGAAGATTGCATGGGCACATCCGCGAGAGAGAAAGAGGAAGAGAAAGCTCCCTGGTACAGTTCCAAAGGCCAAGCCTTTGGGGCCCAGTCGTGCCTCATGGAGCTGAGTGCTGGCAACTTTGCGCGCGCTTGAACAAATACAGCTTAAGGCTTTGTCAAGTTGTGCGGTGGATGTCGAGGAAATCCTCAGGCACATTTCGGTCTATCGATTCTCTTGCAGCAGGGATTACTGTGCAAATGACAAGGAAGCCTAGCCACCTTCTTATCATCTCGAGGAAAAGGCCTAGTCACTTGCATGGACCAGCTTTCCATGCAGCTCTCTCATAGACCCATGCCTCTCTGGTCCGATGGCGCGGTTCCGAGGTCTTCTGCTGCCTGAACATCGTGACAGGCATCTTCGCCCGGGGCCCGGGCAGCCAAAGCGTGCGTCGAGCGGGGTGAAGATGAGCTCTGACTTAGCCGGGTCAAAGTCAGCTGAGCCACGTGCTCGAAACCGATTCGGGAATTGATGAAGGTTAGTAAGGGACAATCACCTTGCCACAAATCGCTGCGGAGATCCGCCTTCTTAATTCTTGAAGCATGGTTCTGGGATTACGACCATTTTAGTACCGGGTTTTGAGCAAGTGACTCAGCGGTTGCTTTCCATGAGCGTAGCCACCTGAGGGCAACTCTTGTGCCTTGGTCAAAGCGCTGGACATGGCGCTGGAACACATTTGCCCACAAAGGTTTGGACATGCGCTATCCTGTTAGGCTTCAGCAGGCCCGGTTTGGATCCAGCTGCTTTACCACCTCTTTCTTGTGTGTGTGTTCACTTCATCTTTCTGGTGCAACCGCAGGACCTTGGTGTAGTCGACTTTTGGAGAGTGAGGAAACCAAAGCAACGCCAAGCGCTGAACTGCAGGAACCGCCTTCCAAACCATAGGTGTGCTTTTTGGTTGTTTTACTCGAAAAATAGATGGCGATTCCTGGTATTTACCTGGTGGTTGCTTTGTCTCATCTACCAGGGAAATCCATTTTTATGTCCCCGAAAAGGACACCTATCTATGTTCTTTGAACCAACCGCTTTGGGCGGTTCGCCTTCCCGCCTTCCCGCTTGCGCCTTGCCCGCGGGCTCGATCCCCAAGCGCGGGGCCCGCCAAGCGCCAAGCCGCCCGCCGAGGTGGACAATGCCAAGGCCCTGAAGGTGGCGGATGAGGAAGCCATGCATCATGAGGCCATGAAGGAGCCCTGAACCGCGGCCCTTGGCCGCTTCGTCGCGGGTGGATTGGACGCGGTCGCGGGTGGGACGCGGGTGGATTGGACGCGGTCGCATTCCGGACGCGACACGTTGGTCGCATTGGAAAGCGGCGCATTTGGTGAGAGGTGAGAGGTTCGGTTGCATCGTCCTTGGGGGAGGCTGTGGGTTTGGTCCATGTGGTCTTGTCTTGTTTCTTTTTTTGGCCGCTATCTCGGGACTGTGCTTCTCAACAGTTGCACAGGCTCGGGGAAGCTTGTATCGTGTGCTTGTCCTTCAGACCGTGAGAAGCCGAATTGTGGCAATGGGACCGCAAGGTTTGCAAGGATGGATCGTGAAAGGTCTTTCATGTGTCTCTGTAGTGCCATTTATCCACATCACCTGTTGGTTGCCAATTTGAAGCTCTGGTGTGAATCGAATGGCTACAACATCCCAACACAAGTACTTGCAAACGATTCAACGATTCATCGGCCATGATTTTTGATCGGGGGACACCCTCAAAATTGCGGAGATCGAACACAGCCCACGTAATTGATGTCCACCAAAGGTCCAACCAAGTTGATTTCATAAAAAAAAAGCAATGAACAAGTGTGGATCTCGATTTTCGAGCTGCTTGGGGATGATGGCCATGGTTGCCTTCTGGGTGAAAACTGCCATGTCCTTGAGGCGACCCTCCAAATGTAGAAAGCGCTGGTCGCATAAGCTGCAAGGCATGCCCAAAGTGTGGCAAACAGCATCAACGGTGTTAATCAGAGTGCAACGAATTGCTTCCCATGAACTTTTTGAACAAGGGGGTGAGAGGAGTTGGGGGAGGCTTTTTGCATGCGGGTATGGGTCAAAATCGAACCAGCAGGGGACCGCAGGTTTTGGTCCTTGTTTCCATTTACCAGGGTTCCATTTCGAGTCAGTCTATTTCTGACCATGTGGCTGTGGCTCAAATGAGTGTACCAAAATGGCACCTAAATGGAGCCAAAGACTAGAACCGCGTAGCCTTAGCTCATGAATTTGGAGGCCTTTGGGTCCTGCAGGGGTTCGGCGCCCTTCAGGGGCCAGGGCTGTGAGCCGTGAGCCGCTTCGCGCGCGCAGGAGCGGCAGAAGTGGATCTCCGAGGTGGCGGACACTCCGCGAGAGAGGGAACCGGGCGCAGCTCTTGGGGACGTGCGACCGCGGAGGGGGGGGGGGTTGAAAAGGGTCACCTATAAAATGGTTGCTGGGGTAGGCTTAGGACACACTTTACATTTTACCAGTGACTCAAGGTGCAGCAAACAATAAGATTTACATTCTACAACTGGGCCTAACTCTGATCATGGTTGGTGTCCTTGAAGTTTCCCCCCTTGAATACCGACCCTAAGGGGGTCCGACATTTTTGAGAAGCTCCCATGCGAATCCTGAAAGCTGGCAAATATGGCTCGATAGAACCTTTGACTTAGATGTGCGTGACAAGACGTAGATACTCGTAGCCTCAGCGTTACAGAAAATGAGGACAAACTTTGGAAGCTCGATTCCCAAGAGGTGCCAGAGCATGCTCCAGGCAAACCCTCCAAGCCTCAGACATGCAGAGAATACTCGAAACATGTCACGGAGGGTTAGCGTATGTTAGTGTGTAAAGAATATGTGCTGGAAACCGGAATGGTGTGACACCATTCTGGTTGGAGTTCGTCAAACAAGTCGAACGCGGAGTAGCTGAGGAGCTGTTTACGAAGATTTGTGCCGAGAAGGACGGGAAGTTGACGAAGGAGGACTTTGTGCATCATGTGACGCACAGTGACAGAATCGCGACGTGCTTCTACCATCTGGGCATCAACACGGAGACCACCAACACGGACGAGCTTTGGGAGCTCTTTGACGTTGACGACAGTGGCGGCATTGATCAGGCAGGTGTTTTTTTGGCGAGCTGCAAAGGTTTTGGTTGCATGTTAATCTGACCCCTATTTGTGGTCACAAGCAGCCCGTCAGTTCCTGCTCATTCCCCTTTGGCATGCCAACCTTTGCCAGGCTGGATCATGTGAATCCTGTGCTCACCGCCTTGTGTGCATTCACCATAAAGTTTGGCAGCATGCCGGAGTAAGGAGCTCGGTTAACTTTTGAAGGATAGGGGACCGTTGCAGTGCATCCTGCGTTGTTTGAAGAGTTTAGTTTAAAGATGTTGAACCCGCTTTTTGCAGCCTGAATCATTCCAACTCATGGATGGCCTTGCATTGTTACTGCCCAGGATGAGTTTGCCATTGGCATCAAGCAGTTCCACGGTTATGCACGCAGCATCGACCTCTTCAAATTGCGGAAAGAGACTTGGCTGCCAACAGGCTGGTGACCGCTGCTGTGGCAGTGTACAGCATGTTTTCTGTGGGGACCTTACCACCCCGAGTATGGCCAATTCAATCATGAACGCGCACATAGCGAACATGGTCAAGCACTTAGCTTTCCATGGTTTCCAGGAATCATTTGGGTGTGGCATCGGCATAGTCAGCTACAGGTGTGATCAGTCAGCTACATAGTGGCCCAGCAACTCAAGTGTTCCGCTGCCAAGGACAAATCATGGCTGGGTCAAAAACACGCGCCCAAAATGAAACCCTGGTAAATGGAAAGGACTCAAACCTGCGGTCCTTTGGATTCATTTTGACCCATAGAATCTGACATAGCTGGTCCCTTTGCATTCAGCTTGCAGCAGCTTTGGGCCCAGGAGGTCAAGGAGATTCTCAAAAACCTCGCATTGTTCGTGCACGACGACCACTGAACCCTTGGTCTTCCACCCTGAAAAAGCCGTTGCCTTTGGCATTTTTTTTCTTGTTGCAACCAAGAGCCAAATCAAGGATGACCCGGTTTTTTGCGGGCCCTTGGAAGACCAAGGAACCTTTGGGTCGCTTTTATTTTCCCGCTCCTGAGCCGTTGACCGGGTTCCCGGCAGCTTGGTCATCGGCCGGTTCCAGGCCGAATGCTTTAAGGGAGGCGTTGCTTGCGATAGATGCGGCAGGAGGTGCAAGACCTGGCGTACGTTCCTAGCCCAGGCTCACTATGGCTCACGATTTCAGCCATCAGGTTGGGAGATTCGAGGTTGCTTGTCAACCTCAGGCCGCTGCTCCGCTAATGAACCTGCACCACGCCCCTTTTTCCGTGCGTGCTCCCGCTGTCAGCGGAGAAACCGAGAAACCGAGCAACCGCCCCGCAGCCCCGCCGAGCGGGGCGGGTGGATGTTGCGCAGCTCCCGCCTGCGAACGCAGCTGGGAGCCCGGCCAAGACTTCAGACGCGGCCGTGAAGTTCTGAAGCCGCCAGTTCCGGGTGCGAATTGACCAATCAGTCTTCATGACATCTCATGTCACCTCAAGGAAACCAAAGATATACACACATAAAGTTGCTCAACTGCTTCCAGAGCCCAAAGGGGATGTAATTATACACATATAAAGAAAGTTGCTCAATTCCTTCCAGAGTCCCCCATTTGACGCCCAGTCATCACTGTTTCCAGGTTACTGGGACACGGCTTGTCAAGAAACTTTTGGATCAGGTGCAAAGTTGCAGCCCGGCGAGCGAACGAGCAATAAAAAAGGCGAGACGTGTCCGGGAGCGGTAGCCAGGGACTTGCGACAGGGTTCCAAGTTCAGGTCACAACTCAGAGTTGCCAAGGAAAGGAGCTGACAGTTGTCCTCTTGGATTTTGTGATTTCTCATTCCGAGACAGACATTGCCAAGGTCCCAAACGTGCATCTCCATTTGTGCGGCTTCAATGATTCAAGCTTCTGATTGTAAGGATGCACAGGGTGTTGGATATGCGGAATCCTGTTTAGGGGTGATGTCCTTCTTACCAATTGTGCCGCTGCGCTCCTGTCAAGGGGCTTCTTATTTGCGGTGGATGACTCAAGGAATTTTGTCTTACTTTCGGATGGATGATTCAAGGGTCCCTTATTTTCTTCAGGACCCCTTTTTGTAATTTGCCCAGATCAATCCTGGAGCCTCCATCCATCGTAGCAGCAGTTTATGCCTCCACCCTGGTTCGATACTCAAATCTACATGTTGTAGCGTGTTTCCTCCACAATTGCTTTCGAGCATTTTTTTCGGATTCGAGCGGAAGTCAAGTTCGGTAGTTTTATATTCTTTCACAGGGGCGAGTTTGGGAAGAGTCATCAACAAAACGAGTGCCAAAAAAGTGCAACACGAGCGCAAATCGGCGCAAACAGTGCAACACAAGTGCAAACGAGCGAAAATCCCAAACATGGTACGGGGAATGGGTTCCGACGGGCGCATGATTGCTGACAACTCGAGCGGTTGAATCGTACATATATCGAGCAACAATTGATGTAGTAATGGAGGCTGCAGGATTCTTTGGTTCAGGGAGCCGCAGAGGGAAAATGGCCAGCATGGCGGTCAACAAGCAGCTTGATATGCATACATATAATATAATATATATATATATATATTATTCTACACTATTAGCATCATTATTATTATTATTATTATTGTTATTGTGATTGTTATTATTATTTATTATTATTATTGTGATTTTATTATTTTCTTATTTTCATCTTCATTATTACTATCATTATCATTATTATTATATACATATGAATACGTGTAATTATGTGACGCATGTGCATCAATACGAATTGTCTGGGATTGCAGAAGCTATTGAGACGACGCCAGTGCTTGACATTGAGCCGTTCCGGAGGTGTTCGTTTGTCTCGCGAGACAGATGTCAGATGTGCACAAGCACGAATGGAGGAGGACATGCAAACTCCATAATACATACCTGTATATGGTAGGCCCTGCCCACCCCCCCAAAAAAAAAGAGAAGAAAAAAGGAACAGAGGAAAACACTTGATCTATGTATGTACACAGAAAGGTTTGAATTTTCGGGCTGTCCAACAAGCACGGATCACATCTGGTGTGGCGCTCATTTGGTCGCCGCCAACACCGAAGTTCCGGTTTTTAGCTGAGGCTGTTGGCTCAAGAGCCGAGCCATGCCGATGGATGCCGGGTACTTAACCGGCTTGGGCCTGCCTTTTGGAGGCTGATGACGGGTCTCAAAGGGGAGATGGGTTCAGGGCCTCCGTTTTTTTTGACTATTTCAGGGTAGACTTACACCCAGGGGTGGTTCATTGCCCCCAAAGGAGAACCCCTGGGTTTAAGTCCATCTTGGGGTAGTCAAAAAGTGGAACCCTGGATGGGTTTCAGGTTATGATCTTGAGTTCCGGCGTTTTTTTTGCTCTGAGGCTCCTGGAAATCAATTTGGCTGTGGTTCAAAAAAGTGGTACCAAAATGGCACCTTGGCATATGGAAACAAAGACTAAAACCTGCGTAACCCTGGCCCTTCCAATTTTGAGCCATACCCATTTGAGCGGCGGCTTTTTTACCCGCAAGCTAATTTAGTGGGGAGAGGGACATTATTATTGAAAATGTGCGCCGCGCCACACGCGCGGAAGCATGCGGAAGGCTCGCGGAAGAGATTTTTTCGCGGAAGGTTTGCGGAAGCTTGGTGGCTGATATACAACTAAATGTTTCAGTGCGTGCATGGAAAAGCTCGGAGAAACAATTCCAGTAGAAGAAAAGGTGTTGCTGCGTACAAGAAACGCAACGCTTACTCGAAGAGCAGATGCCAACAGCAGCCAAGAAGGCCAAAACAGCCGGCGTACTTCGCGGAAGCTTTGCGGAAGCTTCGCGGAAGCTCCGCGGAAGGGTGGCCCCGTGTTTGCAGGCAAGCGGCCAAGTAGCATGGGTAGCCCAATGGACCCCAAGCCTACACAAGCTGCGGCGGAACACTACCTCACTTAAAATGACTTTCCTTTCTGCGCCAATGCTCGCGGAAGCAAAAATTGTAAACCATACCCCGCGGAAGGTTTGCGGAAGCAAACAATGAAACACATGTGCCGCGGAAGTTCGCGGAAGGGACCTCTTGGCCCGCGGCAAGGATGCGGAAGGGTCTGCGGAAGCTTGAATAATGTCCAAGCAAGTTTGTAGAGAATAAAAACCAACGCTCATTTGATTGTTTGAGGGAGTTCCAATGATAGCCGGCAACTTTCCATCACAATCATAAGGTGACCCCCCAAAACGGTAGACCAACACGTCGTCCAAAGGGGACATCTGCATTTCCAGGAAGCATCGAATTACTTGTTTCTCCAAGCTGTTCGTCTATTCCTCAAGGTACCTCTACATCCATCACTTCCGCACGCCACAAAGCCCTTGACTTCTCCATGCCATATCTTTTCTATTTCTAGTTTTCAAGGATTGTTGGATTGTTGGTAGAGTTAGATCGTGAAATCGTAAGAGGCAGAAGGAGATGGAACACCGGAAGTTGGACGGGTCTTATGGTCGTCCTCTTTACACAGCTACCTTTCAATGTTCAAAGTTGGAAGGCATGACCATTGAAAGCCTTTACCATCATATCACTCCATCCCCATTCATTCTCCTAGAGCCGGTCGTTTTGAAGGGGATGTCTGGTGTTGAGTAGAATTGGGAGGCAATCCTGCACGGATGCAAAGGCTGCTATTTTGATTTGTAGAGGGGAAGTGGAGTGGTATTGGTCGCAGTTGCTTGTAAGATTCACTTCAAACTGCATACCAATTGTGGTCAGAAACAAAAGGCAACCCGCAAAGAAAAAGCCCAGTCGCAACTCCATTTTTCCAAGCTGTTTTATATAGCATGGATATGTTGATTGCGCAAGTGCATCATCTCCCTTCACAACTCACTTTGTTGGGAGGCCCATCGAGAAAGGAGTTTGTTAAGCCAAGCTGTGAGTTGGTAAGCCACTGCCATGCTGACACCTGATGTGATTGAAAGCCAAAGGAAGTATTTGACAAGGGCACTGACGGCTGTTTACCTCCGTTGGTTGACTGCGGATTTCCTGTCAATGGACATGTGTGCTCGATGTGGCTTGTTTTGCACCAATCCAGACGAGAAGTGCACAGGCGTCCTTTCTGTTTGGTGGTGCAACTTGGCGATTTTGGCCTTCAGACCGTCAGGCCCCCCGGTGGTCTTGAGACTGCCAGAGGAGACTGAGGCCTGAGGGGTGCGGCGATCTTGGCATTTCTCCAGCAAAACTTGGTGTTGGTTGCTAGTCATAAATCCCACTGTATGGCAGTTTGGATGCATCCTAACCAGGCGCCCAGAAGTGGTCTGTCACCGCAACCAAGCACGACTCCCTTCGTTTTTTCTCCGCACTCCACCAATCACGGCTTTTCAGAGCTGGCAACCTATCCTCAGAAGCACCCTTTGCGTGGCAGGGGAAGACTTGCTCCCGGAAAACCAAAGGACACGAGACCTTTTTGCGGGTAATGTTGACCCCGGATTAATAAACCCCTGGTTGATTTTGATCGGGGGGTGTCCAATTCCTTTTAGTGGTTGGATTCAGACCACTTTTGGAGGGGTTTTCACCCTGATAATGGGACGGGTCTACTTAGATCCTGGGTCCGATTTCCCCTCTGCAGGCCTCGGCGGCTTGGAGCTCCAAGCCGCAGGCCAAGGAGAAGCCCGCGAAGCCCGCGGCCAAAGCCGAGGCCAAGGCCGAGGCCAAGGCAGAGGAGCCAGTGGGAAGGTGTCCAGTGCAGTTGGGGTGGAGTTGGGGGGGGGGGGGTTGGGCTTTGCAATAATACTAATTAAGTAATAGTACAAGTCCAGTAGCATTTGATTGCATACAACAAGCTTAGTAGTAATATCAATTGATGAAGGTGTCTTCTTTAAAAAAGAAAAAGAAAAAACAAAAAAGCAGAGGTAATATATCATTGTACTTAGAATAAACATAAGTATCATCACTATCACATGCCATCTTAAAATATAGTTGTTGATTAAACTATGGGTGTGGAGTTGAGGTTGGAGTTGGGGCGGGTGTGGGGTTCAAGAGGCCGCGTTTTGGGAGAATACTTTTGAGGACGATCATTGAATGGCAACTTGGGGTAGCCATCTAGGATTCTAGGATCCTCTAATCCTGCTGGCGGCTTTTGGCCGTTGAAGTCATCGACCCATAGGTCCAGCTGCATTTAGATATTTGCGATTGGGATAGGAAGCCATGCTGTTTCCCTGCTTTGTTGTTTTTTTACGTGGCTCTTGGCGCAAAAGTATATTCGGATGCTACCATCTCTGCAGGAAGCTGTTGCACGTCACGCCAGATCATGGGATGTTGCTAACCCCGACAACGCCGCGGTTCGGGCCGGTCTGACTAAACATTGGGATGAAACTCTATGGAACAAGGGTTGTGGGATCAAGGGGTTTATCCCCACTTCTGTGATACAAGGGAATCCCCTCTTTATATGGGGGGTTGGTCTTTGGGAGGCCCTTTTTGTTGTATCACAGAAGTGGTCATTTCCCACAGCCCTGCTATGGAACAAGGGTACAAACTGGTGCGAAGTGGAGTTCCATCCACTGTATTTAATGAATCTCTGTGTTTTTCGGCTGAGAGTTGCAGTTGGCACGTGGGTTGTCTTCATCCCGAAACGAATCCTGTGATGCTTTCTGCAGGACGGGCCGGATGGAAGAAGCTTCCTGGAAAAGTGGCGACTCGCCGACAAGTTGACGCCATCTAGGTCCCCCAGCTGCCCTTTCCTCAACAACTTGTTTGGACGGGAGGGTTCCCCTACTAAAATAGACTACAGAAACAAGTTGGTACCCTTATTCTAACCTCTCTACTGGAGGACCTAGTCATGTTTATTTTTGCTCTCGGGCACTTACAGTGTTACAGAGAGCAAGACCTCCCTCCCGTAGTCAACAGACCCCTACCCCCCAGAAAATGCCTGCCTGACGCGCATCACGTCTCCACAGGTCCTACATGGTACACTGGGATTGGAGGTAATTCATCAACCCGTCAGTCAGCATGGGCAGAAGCAACTTGGAGGTTGCCTGACGTGGATTGGTTTGTCACCTGAGGATCGAAACAGATCTAGCACCCGGCGGCCGATGCCACAAGCAGAAGGCGGGTCCTGGAGTGCAGGGTAGATCGGGATATGTCCCAAAAGCCGCGCTAGATCGGCTTTGGTCTGCGCCCGTTTTGGAGCACGGTATTCAAGGGCAGGCCCGAGTTCACTTGTTCTTGCCCCGTGAGCAAAGCCTGGCATAGCAAAGTTGCAATGAAGGCGATCGCATGGAGGTGATTTCCCCAGTCAACATCCATTTCGAACTTCCTGGGAGTCTTGGTGAGTCCTGACCAGTCAAAATCTGGGGACGCCAGGTGCTGACCAGATTCCCTCCGGAGCCCAACGGTTATTTGCACATTGGCCATGCCAAGTCCATCACCATTAACTTTGGGCTGGCGCACAAGACCCTTAGACGCAGCCTGAGAGATAGCACCATGACGCCTGGTTCCAATGTGACCCACAGCCAAGTAGCTGGAAGTGGTCCCCATGGTTTTTGGACCATTTTGGCCTGTCGCCCCTTCTTTGCCACCAACTAACCCGCGACTTAGAAGCATTCTTGCCAGGCAAATTCCGGCTGGCTTCGGCCTTGCCCACAACCGCACGTCTCTCAGTGCCTGCGAGATCTCTCTCGCCAAGGTACGGCGGCGAGTGCAACCTGCGCTTCGATGACACCAACCCGGAAACCGAGGAGGTGGAGTACGTCGAGTCCATCAAAGAAGACGTGGAGTGGGTTTGCCAGGACTGACATTCAAATTTGCCGCCTGTGTCTTCTCTTTTCTTTGGGAGTGTCCCCCCTTGTGGTCCACAAGGAAGCCAAGATGAATGCCATTCGTTGAGGGTTTGTGAAAAGCAATATGTAGCACGCACACACACACACACACACACTACACCACTAACAGACAAAAACTGCACCGGCCTGCTTGCTTTGAACGTTTTTGGTGCCGATTCCGCTGCCGAACCCATTAAACCAAACCCAACAAAAACGCGGATGTTGCGACCAAAAAATCGGAGCTGAGCGAGGCGCTGGAGATGGAGAAGTGCAAGAAGGGCGGCAAGCCGTGGAAGGGCGAGGTGCTCTTTGCAAGCCCCGGGGCTCGAAGTTGTGTTCGCTTCTTTTTTGTTGCGGCTTTAAATTTCCCTTGGCCTTGTTTTGAGACGGGTGTCTAGGCCACCCTTGCGGTGGTTTTGTTGGGGCCCTTTTTGGCGGCTGCTTTTTTTTTCCTGGTTTTTCTAGGTTTTTTTTTGGCATTTTTTTTTGACGTGGGGACCGGGTGTCTAGGTTCCCTTGGTGCGGGTTTGCTGTGGGGTTTTGCTGGGGTTCCCTGGGTTGAGACGTGAGTTTGGTGACGTCAGCTGAACATGGGCCTAGCTTTTGGTAGCTTAAAGGGGCGATCGGGTAATTGGTAAGTGGTCAGTAAGCCTGGCTATAACCCACTTCGGATACTTATAACCATGATAAGTGGGTTGTAACCATGGTTATTCCCCACTTACTAAGTAGGATGCCCCTTTAAGTAGGGGGACGTGAGGTGACCCGCAAGGAAATGGGTGAGGTACTGCTTCAGTCTTCAGTTCCTGAGGCGATTACTTCGAGAAGATGTACGGCTTTGCCGTCGACCTGATCAAGCACGGCAAGGCCTATGTGGACTCACAGACCGCCGAGGAGGCAGTGCGAAGTGTTGGAGGGAGGGCCCAAAATTACAGCGCCTGGTTGTGGGTCAAAATCAATGGTACCATTTTGGTTGGTAGGTCAATTCACCACCCATCTTAGAACCTATTTTAGTGGGGATTGGGATGTTCACTGGGGTACGGGATTTTGACCCAGCGCCTGGTGAGTGTTGCGTGTTGGGCTTGGCCAGCTAGGCAGTCGCCATGTGTGACATGGGTGGCCCTGTGGGGTAGACATGTGTTTCAAAGCCGACATGGCGGGCCCTGACCGAAATGTGCGCTTGTGAATGGCGACTTATCAGAACATGGAAGCTTGTCTAGCTAACTTGCTTGCCCGTGCCTGCCCCAGCCAGCTGATAGCTGATATTCCGATATGCCCGCTGCAGACGTTCGTGACGTTTACAGTGGAAGTGCCGTGCGCTGAAACGCACTCTGCTGAGATTTTGAAAACGATGTGAACGCCACCATCATACGGGCGCGATGAGTAGATTGCTGGCAATCTGAATGAACCTGCGTGTGGCCAGAACCAAAAAGCGGCCAAAAGCGGTGCGTTTCAAGATACGGGGTCTGTTAAAACAAACGACAACCCGGGGTCAACTTGCGTTTGCTTACAATGTTGCGGGGTGGGTGGGCTTGAAACATATCGGCAGTGAGTAGTTTGCTTGACGCCCAACTTTTGTAGTGTAATCCGATTTTTTAGTAGGAGTGAAGTGCATGAAACATGTCAAGTATACTACAATAGAACAAGCTGAACCGCACTTTTAGTTCGAACGAACAAGCAGCAGAGATAGCACTCTATAATCGGTCAATATACTCAAGCAATTATTGAGTTATAACTTTTCGGACTGAGAACCCTGAAGCGCCACGTTTGATAAGATGACCAAAAAATAGTCACTGGATAAGTTTGACAGATCCCTTGTGCGTGCGCGGAATCCTCCAGAGCCATGTTGTTTTTTCCCGTGTTGCACTGGCAGTGATCAGGCAACCCCTAATTGGTGGGTTGGATTGGTGGTTTGGGGAATGGAGCCCTGGCTCTTGTAGAGGGTAAATGTGGGGACATCACCCTTAACCACGAAACAAACGGGCTCCAAACCACCAATTGGAAGGAAGCTGACGTGATTTGTCCAACGAGAAATTCCACCCGACACAAGCAACTCGAGGTGCAGAAGAATCGCGGCGGAGGGCCCAACAACCTACCCGGGGCCCGGCGCCCAGATTGCTTAAGCGTCAGGCTAACAGTCGCTTTGAAAGGACCTCCATTTCAGGCACCTGACTTTGGCATGTGATCCCGTGGCCAACAGTGCCCTTAGGTCAGGCGCAGCTTCGACCTATGATTCCGCACTTTAAGTGGCTTGAAACATGGTTTCCTTCGAAAGAACAACGCCAGGCAGGGATAGGAAGGCAAAGAAAGGAAACATGTGAGGTGGATGCGCGGATGGGGGTTGTTCGCAAAGATCCGTTGTCGGATCCAGTTTGTGACCGGAAGGACAAGAAGAGGGCACCCGTTTGGTCCCAATTTGAATCGGGCCCTTTCTTTTTAAAGAGGGATTGGTGACGTCCATGACCAGCATCTCCGCCCCAACTACAATTTTCTCAGCTTTGAAGGTAAATTCTGGGGCCCCCTGAGAAGCTATTTTATGTTTTTAGTTTGACCGAATATCAAAAACAGAATCTGTAAGCCTGCCGCAGAGTCGGAGGGGCCCTGTTGCCCAAGAAACCTTGCTCTTCCAAGGGCCCGCAAAAACAGGGTCGTCCTTGATTTGGCTCTTGGTTGCCAAAAGAAAAAACAGCCAAAGGCAACTGTGTTTTGAGGATCCTGGAAGCCCAAGGAAAGACCGGGCCGCGGCTTTCGTACCGTCAGGTGGACTCTCCCTTCCGCAACCGGAGCCCGGAGGAGAATCTGCGGCTCTTTGAGGAGATGCAAGCGGGGAAGCACCCGGAAGGCGATGGGAAGATGGGTGAAGGATTTGGGAAGTCCATTTGTTTGCAAGCCGAATCAACCCAAGTTGCTGCTAGTGTTGCTGCTTTTTCGGGACCCGAACGCATTGCGAAGGGTTCTTCCGAAAGACCGCCTTCCAACTAGGAGCAAACTCGTGTGAGCGCACTTGCACGAGCAGACACTTGCGCAAGCCAACTCGCTCGAGCGTGTCGCACACAAAAACTGGCCCTGGGTAGTATAACCGCCCCACCCATCCACGGAGTTCCACTCAATTAGCGCACTCTTTTGCCTGACGTAGGCTCACGTAGCCTTCGCATACCCCTCTTGATGACATAAATACCTGGCAAAAGGTCTTTTTCGCTAGGCCGGATTCGCCGACTAGATGGCCAGTGTAATAGCTCGAAGGGGTACATAAGCTTTATTTTGTCTCACCATAGCCAGTTCCCACAATTGGCCTTGGCGAGTGACCAATGGACACCACCATCTTAGATTTTTTGACCAAGGGAACGCGCGGTTCCCATTGTTTGGCATGGCAGCCGCATTCAGACATTCAGCTGGTTCATCTACCTATTCTTGTATCGCAGACATGGCTACTATGATGGGCTGGGACATTCCTTTACATGGTAAGGCTTCCAGTCTTGAAAATTCCTGATGCTGTGAATGGACAACATCCGTTTCGCACCACCGTACAAAAACCCTGCACTGGAACAACTAGATTCTCCTGCAAACACCAACGAACAGTGGTTTCAATCATGGTTTCAAAGTCGTGTAGGATTTTTTGTCCACCTTCAGTAGTTAATTGGTAAACCCATGTCTTTCCGCAACGAAACCAGGGAAAGGCCAGGGAACATGCCACAAGAAATGCACATTGAATATGTTTGAAGCGGCCTGTGGACCACCCCTGCCGGAAGGTTCGCTTTTGCTCCGTGCGAAGATCGACATGAACCACCCCAACATGAACATGAGAGATCCGCCCATGCAGCTTTGCTGAGACATTAAGTGGAAGGCATGGAAACTAGCGTCTCCTGCGTGGCTTTCTCTCTTGGCATTTGGTGCCAACCTCACATCTCACCCATGGGATCCCTTCGGATGTCTTGGCCAAGGGTTATGGCCACACGACATATCAATCTTTCGCATGGCTTTTGGATCCATGTTCGCAAGTGGCCATGTGTGACAAGCAACCTATCATGACAACTCTTCCGACTCTTCCCCCCGAATCCCCCGCCCCCCAAAAACTTGGAGGCCACAAAGCCACTAGGGCTTAGCTAAGGCCCTAGCTGCTCAACTCTCGCCTGTGGTACTCGGTAGGGCCTCAAAACCTATGTGCTGAAGAACGCGGGAGCGCCTCGAACCTCCGTAGGGCCTCAGTTGGTCTGACGAATCACCGCGGCCAAGCAACAACAACTGCAATTCTCAGCAAGCAAACCCGTACATCTCAGCAAGCTTGCCGAGAGCACTCCGAAAGGGGGTGGGTTTGGGGGGGACTAGTTTTCGTGAACCTTTACGGCTTTCGGAATCATAATTATTGTCGATGCGAAGAGAGCGAGCCCTTCAGTTGCGCACTTATGCTGATCATGCCTATGTTATGTGGAGCTCACTTGGGAGTGAGAACTTATGCAGATGAACTTGATTTGCAAGCACCTGATCGGTTGCATTGACGACTGCTTTTGCTGGTTCCAATGGCTCAGGTACAGAATCCGGTTTAGCCACCACCACCGGAGTGGCGATCGCTGGAAGGCGGGTTCGAATCGCTTTACGAGCGGAATTCGGAATGGGAAGGGAAATGCAAGCCGCGGTAGGTGTATCCGATCTACGACTTTGCCCACGGCAACGAAGACGCCATTGAGGGGATCACACATTCCATTTGCACACTGGAATTCGAGAATCATCGTGCACTGTACGACTGGTTTCTAGACGCTTGGCGATGTTAGCGCAGACTGCTGTTTTGGAGGTGGGCTTTGCGCGGTGCTTTCTGGGGCATTGTGTCCCCTCCAATCGGTTCACAACGGTGTCTTGGTTATGTGCACCTTTTGGCGTCGTTCCTTGCTTCCAAATGGACCGAGAAAAAAAAAAAGAAAAAAAAAAAAAACGAGCCGCGAACAGTTCTGATCATCTGAGCCACACTCAAAACCGGGTAGATGAAGGTTTGTAAGGGACAATGCCAGCCATAAATAGTTGCCGATATCTGCCTTTGTGTTACATGGTTTTTTGGGTCAACCATCTTAATACCGGGGTTTTGATTGCACCACCCATTTTAGAACCTATTGTAGTGGTTGGATTGGGTCCCGTTCACTGGTGGCTAACCGATTTGGCTTTGGATTTTTTGAGCCATGGCCATCTGATCCCAGGACAACCATACATGTGTTTCCTTACATGGTTTTCTGGGTCAACCATTTTTGTGGGTACTAGAGTCATCAGCTGGAAGGAAAAGGTACCGCTCTTTCGCTCAGCTGTGAGTCATCTCCGGGTTTTGAGCAAGTGACTCTCCGAGGACAACACCAGCACCATCCCCAGCCGGCCTTACCAGAAGGAGTTCGCCCGCCTGGAGGTGCAGGGCGCTGTGACCTCCAAGCGGAAGCTGCTGCGCCTGGTGAAGGCGTCGATGTTTTTTCTTGGGGCATCACCTTCATGGCGGGGAGGGAGGGAGGGAGGGGGGAGGGAGCCCAAATAGCCCGAAATAATGCCTTTCTTTTGGGCTTCAAAAGAAGGGTCAATGGAACCCAATGGACACTTGCAGCCTGCAGATGGGTCGATGGGGGGCGGATGGCTGCAGTGTGCCCTTCAGATCAGGGTAGGTCCAACTCAGCCTTTCATTTGAAGTGTGCTTGGAGTGGGGTTCCCTTTGAAGTTAACACACAAGGGTATTTTTTCCATACACTGGAGGTGTATGCTGCCATTTCTGGGATCCATTCGGGTATGCCAAATCATAAAATTGGACCGGGTTGTCAAATGGTCAACGTTTTGCAACTTTTGGCTCCCCAACGAGCCGGTTTCCCTTTAAACCAACCCAAAACAGGGTACCTTAGGGTCCCGCACCCCGCACCTGTCGCGACAGGAGGGCCACGTCACCGGCTGGGACGACCCCCGACTGCTGACGGTGCGGGGGATTCGCCGCAGAGGGGTGCGGCCGCAGGGCCTGAAACGGATGTGCGACGCCGCGGCTCGGCCGGAAAAAAAGGAAAGCGGACGGCTTGAAGGACGCAGGGGCCGGTGTTGTTCGGAGAGCCATGGGGCAGGGACACTTGGAGTCTATTTTGCGCCAAGAACCCTAAAAACCAGTACTCGAATATGGCAAAATAGACCCAACGTGTCCACCATACAGGGGGCGGGGTTGGTTGAAAGCCAAAAGAACAAAGAAGCGCCCACAAAGAAATGAAATGGGGAGGTACCCGCTCACGAGGCTTCGATTTGATTTTCCCTTGAACATGACCCCAATGGGTCAAGCGTACAGCTAACAGATACATCTATGCAAAGTGGCCTGCATGCCGCGTCGCGCAGTGGCTGCTTTCCCCAAAAACATCCTGCGGGGAACAGACGGTTTCCAGTCGCACCAGTAGCACTGACCGCAGTTGTTCTGTCCTCCATTGCTGTCATTCTATTTGTATACCAACTTGCTGTGCTTGGTATTCCTCTTTCGTCTTCCTTCTCTTTCCTTCGCCTTGCTTCTTTGGTCGTCTTCATTCTTTCTTTTGCTTTCGTTTTCTCTCCTTGGTTAGTCTTCTTCTTTTGTCTGGTCGGTGCGAATCGCACAGGTCGGCGTCAGCGACCGCAACAGCACCACCCCCTGGGACCTCGTTGAGGCGCTTCGGCCGGCAGATTTTCCTTGCTTCCTACTTAAAGGGGCAGGGTAACTAGTAAGTGGTTAGTAAGCCTGGTTATAACCCACTTTGGATACGTATAACCATGATAAGTGGGTTATAACCATTCCCCACTTACTAAGTAGGATGCCCCTTTAAGAAGGGAGTTCTAGCAGCCTTTGAAGGGTTCCACAGGTGCTGCTAGGATTGTTTCTGCCAGGGAGTCGCTTGTTTGCATAGGTGTCCTTTTTGGCTGGCTTGCTTAAGACTATAGGCCCTGGTTTAGATTGGGTTTATTCCATTTACCAGGGCCATCTGTTTTTCCAAAAGGCCACCTATGCTTGTTTGGGATTCCTTCCAAGGTAGGCGGTTTGCCATTCTGAAGGCCTGTGTCAATTTTTGCACAAAGAAACTTATCAGCAGAGGACAGGGAGACCCAGTCCAGCACTGGAGCACTGGGCACGTTGAGCTTCGGGTGGAATCCAGGGCGGCGTCTTGAACATCAGGCTTGCTTGATGCGCTGCCCCCGAAGCCAACTTGGCCAGGGCAGTCTTTATACTATTTGTTGGGGGCCGAACCTGCGAGCCCCGTTTTGCCTCTGGCCCACTCCCACACGAAGCCAGGACTCCAGAACCCTCACAAACAGCTTGGCGTTCAAGGTTTTGGCTTCCCCACGCAATCAAAACCCACGAAAACCCCCAAGGAATCCCCAAACCGAAGCAGTCAGGAATGCTGGCGGGAAGACCTGGAGTCCGTGAGCAAGCGCCGGCTGGCGGTGCTGGACCCTCTAGAGGTGGCCACTCAGGGCGAAGAGGGCGGGGTTTTTTCGGCGGGGTGGTTTGAAGAAGTTGCATTCACTACTTAAAGGGGCATCCTACTTAGTAAGTGGGGAATAACCATGGTTATAACCCACTTATTATGGTTAGTATCCAAAGTGGGTTATACCCAGGCTTACCAAACACTTGCTAATTACCCGATCGCCCCTTTAAGTATGCGAGTTATCCTTGTAACCCGATGGTAGCCCAAGGCTTAGAAACCACTTAGCTTTCGGGAGCCCCCAGCCACTGAACCCCCTTGAACCACCAGGGGGTGAGAAGGTTTGAGGAGCGAAGCTCACTCCAGAAGTCAGGAAGGGAAAGCTGTGCTGGGTGCACCTGTTTTGCCTACACCAAGTGGCTGTGGCTCAAAAAACCGGTACCAAAACGGAACCCTGGTAAGTGGAAACATGGACCAAAACCTGCGTAACCCCTCCTGTTTAATTTTGAGCCACACCCAAGAGAGCTGGCTTGCTGCTTGGAACAGTCTCCTTGCGCTTCGCTGAGGAAATCGTGGATTACAACAAGGAGGACAGGCCGACTGCCAGACGACGATGAATCGCTTTTTGTCGAAGCCAGCATGCAGTTTCGGAAAGCGGCTTCAAAGGATATTCCTCGTCATTGTGTGTTGCGCGGCCCATGGTTTGTTCCCAAGACCATTGGTTCAGACGTCACTCAGATTCGAAGCTCTGTGCGAAGCGCTTCTGTCACTGCCGCGTTCTCTCGCTGACGAAAGATCCAGAGGGGCATGGAAGTCATGGCCATAATTAGGTGTCCTTTGTAGTTGTTTTGCTAGAAAATAGATGGCCCTGGTTTACCTGGTGGTTTAATCATCTACCAGGGCCATCGATTTCCCGTAAAAGGACACCTATGGTCATGGCATTCCTTCCCAAGAAGTCCTTCGCATCCAGGCTTTGGCTGCGTTTCGGATGTGCAGGAGGTGATTGAGGGGATCACCGACTTCCCGGATCAGTCCCCTGATCCCAGCTGCGCTCGCAGCCTCAGCCGCTCGCAGCAAGTCGCGACTGGAGAGCGTGAGTTTCAGGGTCTCGATGGTCTTACTGTTGGTGGACGAAATCCACTTCGCACCACTATGAATGGTTTCGCTTGGGCTTCCAGAACCGGGTTTTCAGAGCAACCCTGAAGCCAAACAGAGGTTACTTCGACAATAGTGTATTGAACATGTTTAAGCAGTTGGTTGACCTCCAGGTTTTGTTGCTCTGTTTACTTCGGCGCGTTGAGAGAGCCAACCGTGCGAGGGACCTTTTCAAGAGAACCATCTTGGAATCCACCCCTTTGTGCCCCGGTTTTCTGAAGCTTCATACTTGGGTGAAAACAAGGGTTTCGGGGACGGGAGAATTGCAAGTGAGGTTTGCATAAGAGAACACACCCAAGTTCAGACAACAGGCAATATTCTGCTTGCGATCTCTGAATCCCGTGTGTACGCTTCGCAGTCGCCAGGTAAGACCGGTCAAAGGCGACACAATGGATGGGCCCAAGTCTGGGGGGCAGGGTTCCCTTTGTTCATCTCCTGGAGAGTAGTCTCTGACCCCTTCCGGTTGATTCCCCAGATCTTGTTTGTTGTCAGTAGACATTTCATGCACGCGACGCCAAAGAGTAGTTTGTCCTAGGCTTGCTGTCCGCTGGAATTAAGGAATACTAAAGAGTGTCTTACACAATGTGGTATGATGTGTTGATTCCGTCGTGGGCTCATGAGTTGCTAAAGTGTCAGCAGAGACAGTCAAGAACGTGCGGCCCTGTTTCTGAGTTGACATTTGGAGGGCTGTGCATGTCGGCGGGGGCTTCAAGTTTGCACTTGAGCAGCTGAGGTTTTTCCAAAACCATCTTTATTGACAGATCGGACTACCAGGACACGACTTGGCGCGCCCTGCACATGCCTGTACTTCCAAACTGAGCTCGGGTAGATGATGTTTTTGATGGAGATACAGCATGCATTGAACAGCAGATTGCCCTGTTCTTTACGGGAGAGGCGCTAATTGGTATTCCACATGCAAAGTGCGGCTGGCACAGCTCGCTGGGAGGAGAATCCACCCGAAGGGTACTTCCGACTGGGAAACATTGGAAGCGAGGTGAAGCTCAGATATTCCTATGCGCCTTTGGCGGTGAAAATTATGCCGTTTGTTTTGTTCTAGTTTTTGCCAGGATCCTTGGATCATGATCCATGGCCATATTTGCTGCTGGCTTCTTTTTGTTTCAAGGTCACCTTATTCGTCCTTTTCCAGTTGCGAGGGCATAGGGGCTCACAGGTGATGGGAACACTGGAGCTGACGGCAGCCTGCATCTAAGGTGATCAAATTGAAGGAGGTGGTCAAAGACAAGCAAGGGAAGGTGATGAAGCTGAAATGCAGCCGCCGGACTGCAGTTCTGAATCGTGGTCAGCCACGGTTGGTCTCAGTGGATACAGCCTATCTCGTAACTGGAAGGCTGGAAGGTGGCATTTGTCACTCTCAATCGTTCTGTTATGATATAGATTTCGACCGACTTGCCGGTTCGCTATGCAGCCAAAACCTCAGTTGCCCAGTGGTGCTCTTTTTCAAGTCTTCTTGCGGGCCAGGTTACGATTCCTTTAAAGTCAACCAACCCACAAAGGATGCCCTTCTTTTCCCATGGAAATCCACTGGGCATCTGAGAAGCCACAGGAAGCCCTGGTGCTTGAATCAGAGTTCCATCAGCAACCGGCCCTCCTTTTTGCACGACCCAGGTCATGACCCCAGCACGAGGGACGTGATGCCGGCAGACAGAAAGCCCAAGGTAATTCATTGGGTGAACGCCAAGGAGCCAGCTGACAGTTTGTGTTCCTCTTTGTTTCTTCCCTTTTTCTTATTTTGGTCATTGAGCTAGCGCAGGAGGAACAGCTCTGTGAGTTCCTGGAGTTGAGTCTCACTTTTTGGGCTTGGACCATTTGAGTGGCAAAAGACCAACAGGTTTCTGAGTCACGTTTTGGGCTTGGACCATTTGAGTGGGAAATAAGAAAGGTTTGGACTGTTTTTGGACCATCCACTCGGGACGTGAGGGGAGCTACAGCTGTGTCAGGGAGTCTCTAGAGTCGATTCGTGGGCGAATGCGTGCACGTGTGAACCGGGGTTGGCCGGCGAACAGGGGAGAATGCTGTCAGTCCAATATTGCCGAATTCCTTAGGAGGGTCAGCATGCCAACATGATCCGTTGGGCAGGTTGCAGGTTCAAGTCCTGCTGGCCCTGAGTCCTGCTGAGTTTAAGCCGAGATCTGATTCAACCCTGCCGCACTAGATTCCTTCCTGGCAGGGAGAACTCAATTGGGGAGTTGTTGCAACATGCTCAAGCCCCAAGCTAAAGTGTTCAACTGTCTTGTCAGCTCAGCAAGCCTAAAGCATGCGCCGGAGCTTCGCCCTGCCGCGAATTGTTATGGGCCCCACACTTAGCCCCTGGAAGGCCATTCTAGTAGCGAGAGTCCGGCCAGGATTGCATGGACGCGGAGGCGAAGTGGCGAAGGGTTGGGGTGGATTGAGTGGCCTGGTAAGACAGGCTGAGCCGCGTGCTCAAACCCTGGGTAGAGGAAGGTTAGTAAGGGGCAGTCCTAACCGGAAAATAGTTGCGGCCGCCTTTCTAAATCTTGACATGGTTCTGGGTTCACCATTTTTGTACTAGGTTTTGATTGTGACTCAGCTGAAGAACCTTGTGAAGGTGGCATGAAGAAACAGCCAAAGCACCACAGATTAGATGATGTTCGAGCGTTTAACGTGCGAGCAGTGGACGGCGAGGATGGCTTTTGAGAGATGTGCGCGATCCATTTCCGGGCAATCTCTGAATGAGTGCGGGCCGGGGAGGGGGGTGCGGATACCTTTCGAGCTTATGTTCAATCGAAAAGGACCCCCGATTTCGACGTCCTATGTCGGAGAGAAATGGCTGAGGGTCAAAACCCTGTATTTCTGGTGAACATCAACATAGGTGGCAAATGGATGTTCATCCACCCCAAAATGGAGCCATAGGTTATGCCCCACGGCCTGAAATGTTGTTCAAAGAGGTCAGGGCTGATTGGTGCGTCGGCGGCATTTTTTTGATCGCCCGGAAGGTGCGGTTGATCAACCCGCTCTTCCTGCCCATGCCGGACCCCATGCCTGAGGGCAAGGACGGGCTGGGGCTCAGATGGGTTCCGTTTGAACGATGCCTACAACAAACAGAACACCCCGAAGAGCGTAGCCTCAAAAGGGACACATCCATGCCCAGTTGTAATGGGTTTCAGCAATAAGTGTCTGTTTTGGAAGCCTAAAAAGGCAGTGGAACCCATCTAGTAAAGCCAAACTAGCCCAAAACGGACACCTATGGCCTGAACGCAGGCATCCAAATGAAGTGTCCCATAATCATGGACGACCTCAAGACGGACACATCCATGTCCAGTTGTACTGGTTTTGGCAACAGGGTTGCAAGACAGTTCTCCCGCTTCAGCGGGGAACCCAAAGGCTTGGTTATCGGGAAGGCTTGCTACTGGTATCAGGCTGGGGGGGAGGGAGGGGAGGGAGGGGAGGGAGGGGAGGGGGAGGGAGCCCAAAAAAGCCCTTATTAAGCCCTTATTAAGGCTGTATTTAGGGGCTTATTTGGGCTCCCTCCCCCTCCCATCCTTTTTCCCAGCCCCCATAAGTTGTTCAGAGTGGCATGCTAAAGTCGAAGAGTGTCTCAGTCCATGTTGAAAGACTCAAAATGAAGTTCTGCAGGTCGACGCATTTTGGAGGTGTGAGGGCATGTGGGATGTGTCAAAGACGGGGAACCCCCAAAATGTTGGGGTTCCTCCTGGTTTCACTTTGCACCCCTTTGAAAACAGTTACGGTATCAAAGACATGGGTGGGTCTTTTCTGGGACCTCCGCCTTTTGGTGGTTTCAAAACGGAAACCACTAGGAAACACCCACCATTTTTTTGGGGGGTGGGGGGGTCCAACCTTTCGAAGAGGCACACCCACTGACCCACAGTGGATGCGGCGTCCCTTTTGCGGCGTCGTTTTCGGAAGCTTAAGGGTGTCTGATTCGATTCAACGGTAAATACCGCAACTTTGTGATTTTGCCGGTGCGAAAAGTAGCGAATGAGGAAATGAACCAGGGGTCCCCTTAAAGGAAATTACAAGGGATGGCTTGTAGGGGTCATTCCATTTCTCATTCCCTTCTCGCGCGGTTGCGGTTTTTCTGCGGGTTTTTTGGGTTCAACCCATGGTCACGTCGGTCCGGTGGTGAACTGCCCCCCCCCAAGAAAAAAACAAAGTGGCGCGGAATGGAAGTCGCTGCCACCCACAGTAGCGGGCGTGCCTCTTTAGAAAAGTCGGACCGCGCCAGCAGGTCATTTCGTGTCAAGCCGCGTTTTTCGTTTTTCGCGGTTTTTCGGGTTCACCCCATCCTAGGGTCAGTCCAGTGGCGGTGGAAAGCGCCGAAAAGCGCCGCAAAGCGCCGTTTCGGCCGAGGACTTTTTGAGCTTCATCAACCCGGAGGCCTGGGTCGTGTGCCGGGCCAAGGTGGAGAAGGCCCTGGGGAGCTGCCAGCTCCAGGACCGATCGGGGCATGGGTTCCGGCGGCTTTTTTTCGGGCGGGTTCCGTTTTTGGAGGGCTCAAGGGGCTGAGAAGTGGGGGGGCGGGGGCGGGAAAAAGGAAGAAACACGCTGACCGCCCTCTGCTCAACCACCCCCCCCCCCTTCCCCCCCACAAAAAAGGAAGGAAAGAAGAGAAGTGAAGAACGAAGACCCTGGGAGGATGGTGGGGGGAGGGAGGTGAATAAAGAGGGGAGCCGCTTGAGAGCCAGACAGACACGTCTGACTTGTGCAGATGGGAGTGGAAGCAAGGTCGGCCGAGGTGGGTCTCAGGTCTCACCTGAGAATCCGGGTGGGAAGTCTTCCTGCCCCCACTCCCCTTGCTAAGTTCCAAACTCCAGATCCATTTCGTGTGTCTGGCTCTTAAATGTCATAGCTTGGCCACTGTCCACTGCCACAGCTCGTTTCCAGTTGGGCACATTCTTCAGGCACGTGCGCTCGTCCCGCAGCCTCGAGCTTTTGGCTTCACGGAGCTTTTGGGTTTCTCCAGGACGGAACTCAACAATGTTCTAGGGGTACCTTCCCCATTCTTCCCAGGGATCCTTCTTTCTACAAACCCCCCGGACACCCAGGGAAAGCCGATCCGGCTTTTAAGGAAAGAACGATGGTTGAACAGAATGGAAAAGGAAGGTTAACCACTGGAAAGGTCGAATCGATTCGAGCCATCTTGCAGCCGACTCTTTTCAAAGGTGTGACACATGCAACCTCCAATAGTGCAACACGCTCAGGGGCCCCGAGAGTCTCGCTGTGGTCGTAGGTCCAAAATGACTCGAGTCGATGCAAGCGGTTGGTTGATTTCAATTAGCTTGTTTCAAAGAGCTCCGGGTTGCATCTTGGCTCTTTTTTGCCGGTCTCATTGTTGTACCATGTCCAAAGATTAACCCGAAGCGGTGGGCTAAAGGGAAACAACCGATTCCATGTTCTGACTTTGAAAATGCCCAGAAACAGGACCTCTGCTTTTTTTGCACCTGGCGGTTTTTTTAAAGCACCGAACCAGGGGTTGTCCGACGGTTTCGCCGTAGGACCGCTTCCAGTTCGAGCGGGTGGGATATTTTGCAGCTCGGACCGTCTTGCTTTATCGCCCAATTGGCACGCAAAGGCTTGCGGCAGGGGTCCCAAGGTTTCCTTTTTGTTAGACCTCTCCTTTTGGGCGACTCTACGGTGCGTTTCCGTTGGTAGAGGCGATGTTGAAGAGTGAAGTATGGGGAACCCTGTGCAAAGTTGGGATGGCACGTGGACTTTCCGCTGGAGCTGTTGCGAGCTTCGGCCTACTGCGAGGGTGCACTACTGCGGCTGGTGAAGGAATCTGACGATCAACAGGTTCCATGTCTTGTGAGTAAGATGCTTAACTCGTTCTACAAGTAAGCATGATTGGCCCATTGGTGGCTCTTATGACGACTGTGCAGCAGTCCATTTGAAGTGATTGGGCTTCGCTTCTTTGGTGGGTTTCGCTCAGAATGAGGCGCCCGACTACGACTGCTTTGCAAAGCCGCCAAAGCTGACGTTCAATCGCGTGGTGCCACTGAAAGAGTCCTCGGACAAGAAAAAGATCGAGGGCAAAGGCACCGGGTCACCGGGTCACCGGGTCATCGGGCAGCGAAACCCACGATGAGCCACCTGGGCTTATGTGCAAACGAGTGTGAGGCGAAGTGAGTTCTTAGTTGTTGTCATTCGAATTTGCCTGGCTGTGACACTGTGACATGGCTACGGCAGGTCTTGCTTCTCCTCTTGACAGCAGGTGCTGTAGCCTCCAAAGCTTTTTCATGTGGGAGAGCAATCGATAAATGAGGGACATGTATTCAAAACACAACGATTATCGTACTGAACTTGCAATCATGCTTAAGCAACCCAGCAGGGGCAAATGAGCACATCTTCCTGATCTGAGGCATGCAATCATCCTAAGGTAGAAAAACTTGATGTGTGTCGCCGATGTCAGCACAATTAGCAGCCTTTGTTTCGCCCCCGTGGTTGGGAAAACTGCACGCTACTCTCATTTTCCGGGAATTCCCTTTGATTCGAACAAGGGATTTGAAAGTCAAGCGCCCCACCCCCCGAGCGCTCCCGCCGCTGGCAAGCCGCTCGAAGGCACCGCCAGCCGCAAGGAGGCCCAGCAGGCGGCGGCCGCCGAGAAGGATCGCCTCCAGAAGATCCCCCCAGAGGCGCCTTACGCGACGACCGAGCGACCGACGCGACCGACGCGAGCGATATGCTCCGCTGCTTCTTCGCTCACGCGCGTCCTGGAGGTGTTGGATGTTTCTTCCTTTGTCAAGCTTTTGAACATCCTTCCTTTGTCAAGTGTTTTTTGAACATCTCACATTCATACATAATATACCACATGCATCAACAGAATAATATGTAAATGCATGTCACTGTGAATTGTCATGTACCTGGGGTTCCCTGCCCGAGGTTCAGGCATGTTCGGCAGGTTGTTCTGGGCAGGTTCTGGGGGTGTGGCCTGTGGATAGACGCGATCCTTCTGGTGGGATGGATGAGTCCCTGTGAATTGAGATAAGTCACCCATCCCAACGGTGCCTGGCGCGTTCTTCAGGACTTCTTCAAGCAAGAGAGAGGCCGGTGAGCCGTGGGGGAAGCCTCGGGAAGTCATGGAAGCAAGACCCAGGGGCTAGCAGAACGGGACAGGAGGTGGGTCTCTTGGGATTCATGTTTTTAATGCACAGGCCCTAAATGGCAGATGCAAGTAAGCCAGACACAAACCATTGGTCTCACCTGTTCCGTTGCAATATTTAGGACATCTACCGTCATTCAAAAGGACCGCATGAACTTGGCCAGGAGAAGAGTTCTCCGCCTACGATGAAGCCGGACTACCAACCCATGACAAGGATGGGAATCCTTTGCCAAAGAGCTCCGTCAAGAAGCTGCAAAAGGAGCCGCCTTGGGGGCTCCGGCCATACTGCCCAATCAATCTGCAGGATAAGTAGATTGATACGTGGTGCTTTCATGCCTTTGCTTTCTAGTAAATGGTGCTGTCTCAGGAAGGAACCTGAGTTGGGTCAACAGCCTTGGGCTATTTTGGCCACCTTTCGCCAGGAAGAGCGGATATTGAGGTTGCAGCTGGCATTCTCTTTCATGCATCCTTGCTTGCTGGGCAGAGCCATGTGTTTGAAACCCTCAGGAGGCACAGATGTGGCTTCTTCTTTGGTCGCTAGCTCGTTTCTGTCCATCCGGTGAGTCCCAAAATGCAAATGGCTTTCTTTGTGGCTTCCTTTCAGTCTCTCCAGGACCTCGAGAAGCAGAAAAAGCTGCACGAGTCGTGGAAGGCAACGCAGTAGTCTTCTGTCCGCCTCCCGAAGCTCGGCAGAGAAGATGTACAGCCAGCGAGCGATCGGCAAAGATGCGATCGGCCTTGGAGTTTGGAGAAGCGAGCAATGTGTTCATCCCAAGCGAGTCCCACACCATAGGTGTCCTTTTTGGTTGGTTTGCTTAAAAAGAATAGAGGGCAATTCCTGGTTTAGATGGAGTTTATTCCATCATAAGCACTCCCGGTGCAAACGCAGTGTGTGGGACATAGGTGGCCTTTTGGAAAATAGATGGCCCTGGTAAAAAACATGAGATACTATACAGCATAAAATTCGTTCATTGATGGCAATGTCATGTTGGCCAAAGCATGCCAAGGTTCAGTTAGCGTCAGCCAAATGGGGAGCTGTCAAGCTCGGCATAACCTTGGGATGCCTATGCCGGGCTGTGCAGGGCTATGCAGGGCTATGCATCCCAACCCGCACATCCAAAATCTGGTTTGCTACTGTGGATGCACGAAATCCTGCACCACCTCAGAGACCCTGGAAGGATGACTCCCCAGTGTAAATACCAACAAACGTTATGGTTTCAACCGGTTTCTAAGTGGTGCGAAATGGATTTTGTCCATCCAGAGTATGGGTCGCCCCGTTTTTTTTTTTTTTCTCCCCCAAAGACTCTTTGAGCCCCACCTATGAGAGTCTTCGAGCCATGGCTCCCAGCGCGAGCGAGTTCAACGCAAGAACGCGGAGGCTGACATGAGATGTCTGCAGGAAGTTCGCAAACCCCCCGGCGCAAAGGAAGGAGCCCATTGCCACACTCAGCCGCACATTTTTTGAACTTTGGCGATTCATGTCTAGAGTTACTTTTTTGTGTGAGACGGCGTGCTTCCAAGTGTCGTTGGTCCGCAAGAAAGCCCCATGGGGGCAATTGGTTTCCCCCCAGCCACTCGAGAACCAGTGTTGTCCAAAGCTGTTCAACACTGAGAGGCAGCAAGAATAGGGTCCAAAGCTCTTCAACACTGAGAGCCAGCTTCAACACTGAGAGCCAGCAAGAATAGGGTCCAAAGCTCTTCAACACTGAGAGCTAGCCAGCAATAGGGTCCAAAGCTCTTCAACACTGAGAGCCAAGAATGGGATTCTCCAGGATGCTCTTGAGTTCCTTGTTTTTTTTTTGTTTTTTTTTTGGCTTTTTTTGTTTGTTTCTCAAAACGCCCGGCTGCAAAGCAGCTCGGCCGGCCATGTCCACTGCGGGGCGCATGGACAGCGCCTTCTTCGTCTCGAGGAGATGGATTTGGATGTCGCGAGCTTGTTGATGGATTCCACGGGTGAACCCCGGGCCTTCCATTTCCTGATTTGTTTTCGTTTTCTTAAAACAAAAAAACAACTGTTGGTTTGAAAGGGAGTTTGCTGAATTTAGTTTTGAATTTCAACTGTTGGTTTTAAAAGGAATCAATTTCACTGCTGGACATATGATCTCATCGTTTTTTCCAGGAGACTTAAGCAAATGGAAGGTGCGGATGCAATCATCTACCAGGGTCCATTTTTGCAAAAGGACTATGGTCCAGTCCTGTTTCTTTTGAGGATGTGACATGGGTTTCGGTTGGGGAAGGGCTCGGATGGAGCCAAAGTGAGATCCTACAGCGTCTTTCTGACTATATAGTTGTAGTCGCCCAGAAACTACGAATGTACCAAAGAAGCTGCACGGGCACCATCCTCGACGGATCTGTGATTGGCCATGAACAGTGCAGTGAGCCATTTGCAGGACAAACTGATTCGGGTCCCGCAGATCCAGTGCTGCCATCAGGGTGACAAATCAGCGACAACATGAAAGTTCCCACCGAGCCAGCAATTGTTAAGCAAGTTGCCCCACTGAGCCTGCCACCAGCCTGGGCAACAAATTGCACCTTCACCCATAGTAGTTTTCAGATTGCTGGGTTTTGTTGGGTTTTTGAGAGTGGTTTATGATGAAAGGTCATGTGTCCTTTTTGGTTGTTTTGATAGAAAAATCGATGGCCCTGGTTTACCTGGTGGTTTAGTCATCTACCAGGGCCATCTATTTCCCCCCAAAAAGGACACCTATGTGAAATGGCTAGGTCTTGCAGTGGTGAAAAAAATGGTACCAACTTATTCTACCCTCTCAAATCTGGAGGACCGGCCGGTGGTTTATGGGGAAAGATTTGTATGTGAAGTATGTTTGTTGTCCAAGCATTTCCCCATATGAGTTTTGGGTCTTCTGGGTCTTTGAGCGTGGTTTTTAGGATGAACTATTTTTTTGTTTGGAAAGGCGCCTGGAAGGGGAGTGCTGGATACCGTGAAAGAGTTGTTCCCCTAAAAGGACGCCTATTTACCCTAAAAGGACACCTGGCTCATCTAGAAGGACACCTATTTCCACCTATTTCCCCGAAAAGAAAAGGACAACGCCTGGAGAAAACCGGCCGTTGGGCACCTGGCCCCCGAAAATTGCCCGCGGCCCGTGAGGACGGAGCTGATCGCTTGGCTCAACAGCACCTTCCAGCGCCTGGGATTTGGACACCAAATTCGGGGGGTACGTGTCTTGGATACACGAGTAGAAATGGCTGTGGTTGTCAAAATTCCAATGGGATCCCATTTTGGTTGGTAGGTGAATTCACCCATTTCAGAACCTATTTTAGTGGTTGGATTGGGTCCCGTTCACTGGGGGCTAACCGGGATTTTGACTGGCCAAATTGTTTTGTAGTCTTCCAGCAAGTGGACAGAATCTTTTGAAACGCCGGGGTTTGCCTCACGGCCGTTGGAACCATGTCCTCTTTAAGCCGTCCTGCTTCACCCGTCTCTCATGTGCAAACGACCCGCAGGAATTTGCGTTCTCGGTCCCGAAATCTCCGGTATCTGTATGACCTAAAGGGGCATCCTAGTAAGTGGGGAGAAACCAGGGTTATAACCCACTCATGGTTATAAGTATCCAAAGTGGGTTATAACCAGGCTTAACCACCAATTACCCTGCCCCTAGCGTGTCTTCTTTTCACGCTGCAAGGTTCTCGAACAGCGGTCACCTGCGCAGAGTTTGCTTGATGCGAGGGCGGAATGCATTGAAGATTTGCGAGAGGCATGGAAGGGATTCCAACTGCAACCTCTGGGAACGTGTCAAGATCAGAGCCCTGGCGGTTTCCGTGGCACCACGCGCATTTGCATTCGCAAACCCAGGTTGAATGTTGACAAGGCCGGCAGCGTGTGGCTCATGGGATCGTTTGGGCTCACATAAACAGTGGGCGTGAAAGAGCAAAAGGGTTTCCACTTGCAAGCCACCTAGACATGTGGCCGTGGGACAAGGTACCATTTTAGTCTATTTCAGTGGGGATTGGGATGTTCACTGGGGGCTAACCGGGCTTTTGACCCATAGCCATGTTTAGTGCCTTAAAACGGGAAAACCTCGTGGACAGCTTTGCCAATGTCGCATTTGCAGCTAGGCAGCCCGCCTGGCGGCTATTGGGGCCCCGGATTCCTGTCAGGTGGAGCAGTGCGCCAACGGCGCCATCTACTGCCAGGTCATCGACGCGTGCCACCCCGGTGCCGGCACCTGAGTTGCGCTTCCATTTGCTGAAATGAGTATGGGTATGGGTTAACATCTCACCAGGAATTGGACCGCAGGTTAAATCGCCCATGTTTCCGCTTACTAGGGCAAGCCAATTTTGGAGTTACCCTATTTCTGACTCGCAGCTATATGTTTTAAATTCCCCTGGTTGTTTCAAGGGAATCTACCACTCTTAGTTTAATATGTGATTTGTCCAGGAGGCTGGAGCGTTTTTTTTTTTTGTTCTCAGGGCTTTTCGCAAAACTTGGCTTGATTGAAGTTGTTTTGGCCAAAGACTCAGTCTTGATTGGGCGAACAGCATGTGGATTTCCACCCTAAATCACCACGGGGTGACATGAAGAAGCCAGGTGCTCACGCTTTGACAGCCGTCATTTGCCCAAGCAGAGGCCGTCAATATGAAGAAGGTGAACTGGGCCGTGCTGCACTCAGGGGGTAAGGCAGTGCAACTGATTGCCAGCATCTAGATTCCACGAGTGCCATGAGACCCAAAACATCCAAAAGCAGCCAGAGTGCGCAGAACGCTGTAGCCATGTTTAAAGCAATGACAGCAGCCAAGGTCCGGAGCACGCGGAGACCCGATGTTTTTGGTTTCAAGGCTTCCGCATGCTTGCGGCTTGTCGCGTGTGTCCCGCCCGAGGCCAGGGACGAGCATCAGTGCCTCCCAAACTACAAGGCCGGGCGAAGTGGGTAGCCAGATCCTTGCCCCCGTTTGGGGAGCGTATGGGACAGATCCCAGCCATGGTACCGAACAAACATGGTGAGCGTGAACCCATCCATCAGGTTGGTGGCGTCAAGACTTGTCAGATATTGCTGCGTGACAGGTCACGCAGCCTTTGGAGGACTCAAACTTGGTTGGGAAACCTTACAAAGAGCGTCTTGTCATGTCTTGTCTTTTTGCTGTGTGTGCGTATTGCAATCCCCGGATCATTCCCAAAAGGGTCCGAAATGTTAGGAATGCACAATCCAGGCGGGGAATGAGAAGGAAAACCATCATTTTCGCAGGTCCCCCAACTGATTCAGATACGCCCATCCCAGTGCCCCGCATTCCCTGCGCCGAGCAACGGGCTCCCGGAGAGTTCCGATTTCGATGCTGCTTTTTTTGTCAGATCCTGCAGCAAGCCTTCGTCAAAGTTGGCATCCAGCGTCACGTTGAGGCGCGGCAGGTCTTGAGGTGTGGCGTGTGCCAGCAGTCATTGTTGATTGGAATCTGGAGATGGAGGTTGGAAGGTTGGGTCACTTTGGAAGGTGGGGTCACTCCACTTGGCTGATGATTTGGAAGGTATTCCGCATGGGACACAGTCACTTGCTCCTTCCGGAGCCGCCTGTTCAGCCTCACGCCATCACCTGCGTTTTGGAGCAGCTTTGAGCTTGTGCAATTCATCCCCTGGAGAGGAGGCAGAAGTCATGTGCTGTTTGCTATCAATGTCGCTTGGCTTGCCAGGGTACACCTGCGCAGGTAGACAAGCTGGTCCGCGGCAAGTACCAAGACAACTTGGCTCTTTGGCTTCAAGGGATTGCGTCAGAGCGCGTGGTTCTCATCGCAGACATGTGGTTGCAGAGAACATTTGGGGGCACAGATGCCAGCCCAGATGCTCAGAGTCTCGGTTGAGTGGAGGCAGATTGCAATGCAAGGGAACCTTGTACATTGGTCACGAGTCCCCTGACACGCGTGTCTCGATCTATATGTGGTCAGAAAGGAAAGAATGAATGGGGAAGGCATCTATGAGTGAGAGATTGTATGCTGAGATGCCTTCCTTCTCATTCTTTCCTAGTACCAGCATAGTACCTTCTTCGCATTCTGGGCTGGATGGTCAAAACCAACCATCACGATGGTTGGTTCATGGGTTTCCGTCTAAGGCCATCCTCAAGGGGTAATTCGCCTCGGACTTTAGGGAGCCCTGCATCAAGGCAGCCCGGGCAATGAACACCCCCTGTAAACCACCCCTGTTTATGAATATGGGGGTGTCCGACCACTCATTGAAGGGGCCAAAACCCCCCTACTGTGGATGGACAAAATCCACTTCGCACCACTTTGAAGCCATGCGGAAACCGTTGTAACTGTTGGTATTTGCCAGAGACTCGTATCATTCCAGGGTCTCTGAGGTGGTGCGGTTTATGGATTTCGTCCATCCGCCCCGATTGAACAAACTGGTTGGTTGATCCTTTTGGCCGCTGGTTCCTTGGAGCCCAGGAGATGCTGCAGTGGATCAAGCTCTACTTTGACCGCACCTGCGAGGGCCGGGCAACGAGAGGGCACCTGCGAGGGCCGGGAAGAGCTTCGTTGTGGTCTGGATCGAGGGGCCGAAGTTCTGAATAGAAGTCACCAGAGTCACGGCCTCAAAATCGAAACCCCGGGATAGATGAAGGTGGGCAAGGAAGGATCCCCTTGCCAGAAATAGCTGCGGAGATCCGGTTGCTAAATTCTTGAAGCATGGTTCTGGGTAGACCAGTTGAGTACCGGGTTTTGATTGTGACTCAGAGCCACGTGCTCAACACCGATTCGGGGATTGATGAAGGTTAGGGACAATCCCCTTGCCATCAATAGCCGGATATCCGCCTTCTTAGTTCTAGCATGGTTCTGGGATTACGACCATTTTAGTTCCGGGTTTTGATTGTGACTCGCCAGATGATGTTGGGTGCACCAAGTATGACAATGCTAGTAGAAACCATCGCTTGGCCAGAATTGGAAGGAACAGGATTTTAGCTTTTGCAGTACCTTAGGGGCCGGCAACACTTGTCGCCTGTCTTTCCGCCGATTTGGTGAGTTCACTTGGTAAAACAGCCTCACGATGAAAGCCTTGTGGATCCCTCATTTCACCTAAGCCACAATCAAAACCCGCGTAGATGAAGGTTAGTGAGGGATAGTCCCAACCAGCATTGGCTGGGGCCGCCTTTCGTTTCCTTTTGCATGGTTTTGGGATTACAGCCATGCATTTGAAAATGCCGATCGGTGTTTTGAATATCTATGGCTCACATGTTGATGTTATTTGCAGAGAAATCACTCCCCCGTAGGCGGCGGCTACAATAGCGCGGCGCGGCGCTTTTGTGAGAACCCGCCGGACTGGGCGAGGCGCGCGAGAGAGAGAGAGAGAGGCGGAGAGGTGAGTACATATGCATTTTTGTATATGTGAGTTATGCATATCTCTATATATATATATATAGCCCCCAAGAATCTGAAAAACTCAGCCCCCATGCCGACCCGCCCTTTATATATATATATATATATCTATATAGATGTATTCCCATGTAGAAATGCATGACCTGGCTGGTTGGATCTCATGGGAGTTGGGGTAGTTTGAGGGAGGGTGACATGGCTGGAAATCTTCTAGGGGTTGATTCCTTGTCCATTCTTTTCAACCATCGTTCTTTTCAACAACCAGCTGTTTCCCCAAGGTTTTCTAGAAGGAAGGATCCCTGGAAAGAATGCACATGGAAGCTACCCTTAGAAAAAAGGAAACCGCTCGCTCACTTTAGGGGGGTCCCTGTAAGACGCGCCGCACTATCTCGGGCCTGCGGATAGGTTGAAGCCGTCAAAGCCGTCAAAGCCAATAGAAATCTCAGAACGCAGAAGGTTGAGAACGCAGAAGTCTCCGGCGCCCCATGTTGTTTCCTCGATTTTTCGCTCGCGAGGCCCTTGGACGGCTCGGTGCTGCCCTCCCGGCGTGTGTCCAGCACCGCGGAGCCCAAGGCCCGCGGATGGGCTGAGCCATGTGCTTGGTGTTTCTAGTTGTGTGCTATGTATACATATGATTATGATCATTACAATGATTATCAGTGTCAACATCATTATCATTATTTTCATTATTAGTAGCATCATGATGTTTATGGTTGTATGTTTTTGGTTTACAAACAATATGTATGTGTTTATGTGTACGTGTGTAGAAATATATATACATATATATATATATATATATGCGCCCTGCAAAAACCTTTGGAAGACCAACTGTAAAGGGCTGGACATGACATACCAACATCTGCGGTAGAGAAGTCTTTACGAACGATAGGGTTATAAAACATGATAACTCTCTCCAAAGTGAACATCATTTACAACAAGACTTGTACCGAACTGTTGCGACTTTCGAGCTAGCAACACGAAGCCCTTTCAACCAATTGGCAGATGTTCAGTTCATGGTTGGGTTTCCCCACCACAAATCCCGAAACAGGGTACTTGTTCAGCCAGGATCACAGCACTGCCTTTTTCGTGCCCGCTGCAAGGTGGGGGTTTGCTTTTGACCCATTAATCAGGGTTCACCTTTGCGCCTGTTCTGCTGCAAAGGCTGTTATCAATGTCCTACCTGTGTTTTGTCCCCTTTTCCAAAGCCTTGTGAACACCTGCTCGGGCGAGTTGACGCCCAACAACAAATGCCGCAGGTGCTGAGACCAGGGCGGCCCAGCGCCAGAATCCCAGGGGCTGTGCGACACAGGAAAGGGAGGTGCCGTACATGTTTGGGAGGATTTGTTGAAGCTTAGCGGGCCTTGAAAGGAAGGCAAGGCGTACAGTCTATAAACAGTTGCCAAGTGCTGCACGAACATGACACAGGCACAGACACATATTGTGAGCACGCACAAGCAAACACACCCACACACAAGCTTGGATGACGAGCATTCCACCAGAACCGGCTAAAGGGCAGCAGAGCAGGCATGACGTATTGAACAGTGATCGCAAATCCGTTTGAACCTATCGCGTGTTTCAAACCCCTGCTCTCCTTTGCCTCAAAGTGCGTGGCTTCCTATGCAATCCAGAGGGTACTTGGTGAAAGCACGTGCGTCGACAAAGGAGTACTTGTGTTCCATGTGGATGAAGATTAGTAAGACATAACCCCAGCCATAAATAGCTGCAGCCGCATGGTTCTGGGATTACGACCATTTGAGTGCACTCCCTCAGAACATGGAAGCTCTTTTACAGTTCTGTGAAAATGGGTCGCCAAATAGGTCCGTTCGGAACCGAGCTATGGATCGAATCGCGTGGAGGGTAGCGCTGCTTGGTCCTCAAAGGCTCCGCCCTCGACCTCAGCTCTCGCCGGAAAGAAAGAAAAAAAACGCATTGGGAAGGGCCTGGCTTTGATTTTGTTGGCAGAAGGCCTGCAGGCCATGGCCCGAAGCTTGGCCCCAAGGTTGTCACCCAGCGCGAGGCACGCGAACGCGGGGCCGACGTGGCGGTGCTCCAGGATCGATCCCGGAGCTGAACCCGGCGAAGTTTCAGGGTTGGCCCTGGTCCAAGAACACTGCCCCGGGTTTTGAATTTTGGCTGCGGGGACGGAGGGCACTTGCACCCCCGGTCTTGTTTTTAATTGCCACGGGCAGCACTCACCACAGGTCTTAACCTTCAGGACTGCAGGAGAGAGATCTTTTTTCTGCCTTTGGCTTGATGGTTCTCGGTGGATGTCACGATGTGGCCGTGGCTGTCAAAAATAGAGTACCCTGGTAAATGGAAACAAAGACTAACATTTGTGGTCCCCTGGTGGTTTAATTTTGACCCATACCCATGTGTTGAAGTTGGTGTTTGGATATCTGGGGGCATATCAGCGGTTGCCCCCCGCGTTTCTCAACGTTCGCCCCGCACGGGCGGCGTTTTCTCCGGGCCTCTCGTTCCGCTTCGGTCACGAGTGACGCGCGAGCCGCTCGCCCGTTGGCTCCAGCCGATCATGGGATTGCGAGCCTCCATGGAGACGGCAGACAGGCCAGAGCCCGAGGGACCGGTGCCCTTCATGACACGAGCCATAGTCAAGCCCTGCTAGATGAAGGTTAGTAAGGGAAAGTCCCAGCCAGAATTCGTCGCGGATATCCGGCTTCTTAATCAATTACATGGTATTGGACCATGTTACTACCGGGTTTTGATTATGCCTCACATGTTTGGGGACGCCGGCAAGCTTGGGAGTAGCTCAATGGAGATTGCATGCCCTTCGCGAGGAAAGTAATCCTCCAAAATCGGCCTTTGCACTTCCATGATCCTTGGAACTTGGAAGGGTCTCACGGCTGGTCTTGGAGCTTTCTGCACACGCCTTCCTCGGCTCAGTGCTTCTGGCAGGGCTGGCTACAGCTCGCCGGATGTAGGCAAGGCATTTGGGATACCTGAAAGCTGAAGGCCCAGTGTCATGTTGCCAAAAGTGGGACCGGACGAAACGGTCCAACTAGTTTCATTTGGAATATGTTGGGGAACTCAGAAATGGCTACGTTTCAAAGCAGCTTTCATTCATACCAATGCGCAATCGCAAAGTACGAGTCTGGCCAGATTGCTCTTCTTCAGTCAGCAATTCAGGAACGCGTGGCGGATTGGGGATTATGAAGCCTGTATGAACAAAATGCCTCTTGGCCATTCCCCAGCTACTTGTCGTGTTGGACACCGGCCAGCAATCCATGCGGGCACCAGGTACTGTTCACAGAGCATGTTGAGTTTAAATCAACTCCATGCCCCATCCGACGCCTGTGCTCAAGCTGACTTGACTCTGGACGTCGCTTGCCAGTGGCAGCAAGTCAAACTGGCGTTGATGGCCAGCAGCAATGGGTCTTTATGTAAGAGTGCCGTGTCTAAGAAGGTCAGCTTTGACGGGCCAAACATCTCTGAGCGTAGAGACAGGTGTTCAAGTCCATTGCTAAGATGCAAGAAAGAGGCCCTAAAGCAACGCTCCCAGCGCTTCTCTCGCGAGAACAAAACCTTCTTGAAGGCAAGACAAGGGATGGCCATCCCTTGCGGGGTTCCAGAACGGTAACACGCACAGAGCAAACAAAAGAGCGAAGAAAAGCAAACAGGGTTCCAATCAAACTGTTTTCAACACCGCACCAGCCCACCCTGGGACTCCAAAAGAGAACTGCTACTTCAAGCCATGACAGGTTTGGATCTGGAGAAGCGCGTGATCTTAGAGCCCAAAGCTGAGCACAAGGCTGCGGGTCACGTGTGGGTTTGGTTCAATCCATGGCTCCTTTTGCTTGATTTAAGAATTATTAGGGGTCATACACGTCGCCAATCACCATGAAATTATTGTGCGTCGCAAACCGGGAATAAGTTTCATTTCAGAATCGAACGTGGGGTTAGTCTCCCTTGGGGAATCCTGATGTCGATGTGACTTGGGAAGTGTTCCGGCCACGTTCACCTTTGTTTGGGCAAGGAAGACCCGGCTGACAGCGAGCTAGAGGGAAGGAAACATGGCCATTCCAGGGTTTCTTCTGTGGTGCGAAATGGATTTCGTCCATCCACAGTAGTGCTCCCTGAGTTTCTAGCTTTGAGCCGGCCTCTCACCATTCTTGAGACAACCCAAGCACCTGAATTTGGCCGCAAAAACAAGCAGACCCTTCCACAGCACACCTCGCCTCGCTCCGTGCTGTTCTGTTTCTCTCCGCCACCAAGTCCACCAATCCCTTCAAGCACTGCACCCCCCAAATCTCGGGGTGTGTTCCCTTTACCCTTTGCACCAATCCCCCCAAAAAAACAGGGGCAAGGCAAACAAAAAAACACGGGAAGCCGGTAAACCCCGTTTTCGCAACCAGCCAAAAAGACACGGGACACCGGTAAACCCCTTTTCCCAAACACAAGCAAACCACGGCGAACCTCCCAAAACTCAGTTGTTCAGTGGCAGCTCCACGAAAAATGGTCAAGACACCAAAAAGGGTTGCCTTTTGTTTCCAGGGTCGCTGAAGGACCGAGCCAACCTTCCCCCGGGGTTTCGTGCACAAGGCCCCTCTTCCAGGAAGAAAGTCGTCTTTCCCCGAAAGATGATGTGCACAAACCCATGGAAGGTTGGCTCACTTGTTCAGTGACCCTGGAAACAAGAAGGGTTGGGTTTCCTTTTTGGGGTGACCATTTTTAGTGGAGCACCAAATCAACGTCGGAAAATGGGACTCGGTGCCACTGAACAACTGGGTTTTGGGAGGAAAAGGGGATCGCCCGGCTTCGCTTCGAGGGCACCATCCTCTGCCTCCACGGCCTCGGGGACTCCTCGAAGTATTGGGAGCAGTTCTTCGAGGCCCTGCCGGACCGCCCAGCGGATCGATCGATCCGACGCCCCGTGTTTGGGGGCGTTGTTTTTTTGTCTTTCTCCTTTCTTTTCCGTGTTTTTTTTTTGTTCTTTATTATTGTTGTTATTGTTATTTTTGTTTTCGCAGGGAGGGCCTTCCTTGGGTTTGGTTTGCTTTCAAAGGAAGCCAGGGGCGTGTTGGGGTCTTCTACGGATGGACGTGTTTGGGTTTTCTAGGGGCTTTCATTTTTTCCGGGTTTTCGCAGGGAGGGCCCTTTTTCCGTTTTTCGGCTTGTTGGTTTGGGGGCTTCCTTGGGATTTGGGCGTTTTTTTTGGGTTTTTGGAGGGCTTTCCTTTGCTTTGCTTTTCAGAGAAGCCAGGAAACCAGGCATGGACTCCTGAGACCAACCCAGTCACGTTCCAAATCAAAGCAGACCGCGGTTCGTTGCGCGTCCGGCCCTTTGGAAGACCAGATTGTTTTTTTAAACAAAGGAGTTTTGGGCAAATCCATGTTGGAAGGTATCCATGCATCCATGCTTCATGTTTGTTTTGAGCGTGATTGTGTTTTTGCTCAATCTATTGATGGGACACACTCGTTGAGGTGGGATAGGAATTGTGTGGGGTATGGGGGGTGGGAGCACAGGAAGCCCCTCCTTGTTTCGCAGTCAGTGCCCATCACCGACCCCGAAAGAAGAACCCTTTGTAAATTTCGCAACACCAAGTGACTAACGACAAAAGGTGTTTCTGAACTTGTGGTTGTGCTTCGTTCCCCAACAGCAACAGCTATGCTTTGTTTGTGTGATGCACTCTGACCGTACATCATCGCGACAGCCAGCTTGTTTCGTGAGTGAGAGTGCTTGCAGTACACAGACACTAGTTTGTGCTGCTTTTGGGGCCTGACCTTCTTCCTGAAACACCACGACCAGCGAAAACGATCAACCGCAGCCATGCGTTTGAGCCGAGTTTCGGGCGGGACAGGTTTCAGGAGTGTTTGTTTTGCGGAATGAGTGCGGGGCCGATGCTCTTGGGGATGCTCCTCCGGCGCATGGTCTTTGAGCTGATCAGCAAGGACACCTCGAAACCCACTTGGCTGTTTGGGTCAGTGGCTGGGGGGTTTGACCTCCTGGTTGGTTTGAGTGCAGAAACCACCCGACTTTTCCAAACCGCGAGTCTAAACCAGCAAGTGTGGGTCAAGATAAAGCTGGACTGGGGGATTGTGTAAAGGGGGACCCTTTGGTGGACATCATGGGGATTCATGCCCACCAACCACTTGAGTTCGGTGTTTGGATAAATTCATAGCCGTATGGAAGCGGGCTGGGCACATGTTCAATCACCTGGGCACATGTTCAATCACCTGCTCCTCCCCTTTCTGGGTGTGTCTTTTGTTTTAGGACCCCTTCCTAGAAAAAGGTGGTTTTCCTGAAAGGTTGCCCAGGGCTCCTTATTTTGCAACCAGTTGAAACATGTGGCTTTTTCAACACCAAAATACAGGGAAACCACCATTTACAAGTTGCAATATTCAGGCGTTTTTCTGTAAGGATCCCTGCTTCCCCTTTCCCCAGAAAAGCGCAACCTTTGCAAAGCCCGCGGTTTCCCAAGGTGCACCTCCCAGGATCTCGCAGGCCGGGAGGGGTACAGAGGGGGCAGCAAAGGCTTTGCGCTCACGAGCCTGGAAAATATGAATTGGCTCTAAACCGATTGTCTTCCAGGATGCTTGTCTCACTTCCTGATCATGAACTTCAAACTTTTGGTGGGGGTTGGACCATTTTAGTGATAAAATTAAAGTTTGGACTTTTTTTGGGCCATCCACTCAGCCAGTGAGTTGTGTTGGTTTGTTTTGGTCTTTCCCCCGCTCCTGGCGCCGACAAGGCGGCAATGTACTTGCCAGCTTCCCTGCTTTTGGACACTGGAAAACCGGCGTGACCCCATCGCCCCTATCTCAGCATGTTTTGAATGCAGAACTGGAGGTTCGTGGCTGAAACCTCGTGTGTTCTTTGTTGGCTGTCCACTTGGCAGGCGTAAACGTGGGGAATCGTTGAGTTACATCTTACATCCTCCTTCCGACTCACCTCAAGGTATAACTTGCTCACCGTGATTAGCAGGTCCTGCACTTGAAAGATCCCTTAATTCAGCTTTTGGAATGATCTTAAACTTTGCAGAGGTTTGAAGAGCCTCATGATTCCCTGGTAAAATACCAATCAAAGGGGGGGAGGGGGGCGTTTCTTTTTTTTTTGGAGACACTCCCACGGCCTCGCCCTTCAAAGGCACTGTCGCCAGGCATCAGATGCCTCGCCCTGGACGCGCCGCGGCGCCTGGTGTGGGGAGAGCGCCGCTTGCCTTCGATGGCTTGAGCTGGAGAAAGTTTCCGCTGTGGGTGCTGGACCGATTTGTTTACCGTCCCTTTCTTGGGGGTTTCTCAAAATGATGCTGGCAAGGGGGTTGCCTTCTCAAAATGATGGGGGCACTTGTTGGTTGGTACTTGAAGGAACGCAAAAACCAAAGCCCCCCCCCATTTTGGGTGCCCGCTGTTTTGAGAAGCACCCATTCCAACTGGGCGCTGACGTTTGCGCACTGTTGGCCCCATATGAATTTGGTTGGGGAACCACCTCAAAAGTGGCTGGTGGACTTGAATCCCCAAATGATCTCCACCAAAGGATCCAGACAATAAAATTCATGCTCATATGAACCAACCAGTTTATGACTGGGGACGTGTCCAACTGGGTTTATAAAGCGGGGATTCAGACCACTTTTGGAGGGGCCAAAACCACCCCTCTATTTTTTTTCTGAGGTCAACATTCACTCACCAAGAGGTTGCCTGCTCGGATGTTCGGCCAAGTTGATAAGTTGTTGGTAGACTAGGTTATAAAACCGCTCATAAGTCCAAGTGGAAGTATCCGTGTTATTAGTGGGTTGGCTAACCACTTGGCCGAACATCCAAGTAGACTTAAGCAGCTTGCTTCTCCATGTTTAAACACCGAGCCTTGCTGTTTTCTAGAAAGGCCTGGGATATGTTGTTTGTTTCCTAGAACCGCAAAGGACCGCAAGTGGTCGCAAGTGGCTCCGCAGAAGCGCCCAATTTTTCGTCAAGCGCAGGACACGGGCTGACCCTGGGTGCGTACTCTTCCCTGGGAAAGACCGATTTCGTTTGATCTTTTCCAATTCCGTCTCAGGTGCTTTGCTTAAACCTAGAAACGTCAGGCGCTTGCTTTTGGCTTTTTGGATGTGAGTCCGTGAACTTGCGGCCTTTGTGGGATCACTTGCTTTGGCTGGCCGTCACGCATGCCATCCATCTCCGGCCATAGCGAAACGGTGTCATTCCGTTGTGTGGTGGCAAAACATGGGCTTGGCCTAATCCGTTCTTTCGGCGATCACTGTAGTTTGGGTTGGGAACGCGGCCCAAAACGCCAGCTCGCATCTTAGGCACCTGCATTGTTCAACAGCTTCTCCTGATCTTCTGACAAGTTTCTTGTTGTTTGCGTGGCAAAATCCGCGGACCTCGCTTCTCTGGATGATTGCGGGCTTGAGGCCAAGCAGCCTGGTTCGAGTACCTCTCCGACAAGAGCGGCACCCAGGAGGATGGCGGACATTGGGACGTTGAGGGGAAAGGGGTTGGGTTCTCTCCTCGCTCTAGGGGTAGCTTCCAGTTCAAGTCTTTCCAGGGATCCGAACCTTTCTAGAAAACCGCCAAACAACTCGGGGGAAATGGCTGGTTTTGAAAAGAACGATGGCTGAGCAGCATGGAAAAGGAATCAAGCCCTAGAACAGCATCTCCTGGGCTTTTGATGCTTTAGGCATGTGCAAGTTGTCGGTGGCCGGCACGTGAGAGAACCCATTGAACAGTAGATCATCTCATGTGCATAGGTGTCCTGTTTGGTTGTTTTGGTCGAAAAATAGATGGCGATTCCTGGTATTTACCTGGTGGTTTTTTCTCATCTACCAGGGAAACCCAGCCATTTCCAACCTAACAGGACACCTGTGCTCATGTCTCCCAGCAGATCTTTGTCTCAGCTGGGACGAGCACCCCTCGCGGACCAGGAGGACGAGATCAACGAGAAGGATCTGGAGGAGACCTGCCGCGCGCTTCACGCCTGGATCCTCCGAGAGGCGCAACGTTCGGATGGATGCCTGGGACCAAAGACGGTGCAGCTGGGAATCCTGAACGTCGGCTCATGGATGAATGTAAGGGATGATAATTCAGATGCATGTGGGTTGAAAGCTGCAGAATGTCCCACGGTTGGACCCAGGTTGGCAGTCTCCCAAAGGTGGCCAATATGGCCGTGGTCAACACCAATGGTACTATCTTGGGGTAGGCACACCACCCATTTTAGAACCTATTTTTGTGGGGATTGGGTCCCGTTCACTGACCCATAGTCATAGGTGTCCTTTTTGGTTGTTTTGGTCGAAAAATAGCCGGCGATTTCTGGACCTGGTGGTTTCATCTACAAGGAAATCCATCTATTTCCCCTAAATGGACCTATGCCCATCGCCATATGGGTATGGGTCAAAATTAAAGCACCAGGGGACCGCAGGTTTTAGTCTTTGGTTCCATTTACCAGGGTTCCATTTCCGGTACGCATTTTTGACCCACGGCCAGATCCTACCAGGTCCGAAAAAGGTTTCCATGACGCAGGCTGCCTCGGGGCTGCCTGCAGCGGCCTCAGTTTTCGCTTTTCGACGGGTTTGGTCCGCTTGATTCGTGTCCGAAGGTTAGTAGTTCAAAGCGAATCGACCGTTTGAGCTTTTGGTGCTCAGTAGGGAATGACCCATTGAACCTAGGGATTCCCTTTGAGGAAACCGCAAGGGATGGTTTGTGGAGTCATTCCGTTTCTCATTCCCTGCCGATCGAACCAGCAAGAATATTGGTTTCCCTTTTTGGCAACCATTTTTAGGAAGGGCCCCCAAAAGATATTTCCAGGTCCGAACTGGGCAAGTGAGAAACAACTGGAAGAAGGTCAGATGCGCCTCAGATGGTCTTTTCGGGAAGTACGAAGCCAGGCAATTCGGAGGCGCACACCAGACCTTGAGAATATTTTTTTCCGTGCAGCGCCAGCCTCCCTGGAATTGTCGGCGGTTGGCCTCCCGTGGACCGCAGGATTTTTCGCCAATGCCCAAATGACGCTTAAATGGGGTCATTACCCAAAATGAAGGGTTCATGGACCCATTTTTTAAGGGTCAGGGAGACTCTAGGTGTACTGAAAGTGCGGAATTGGAGGATTCACCCTAAACCCTAAACCCAATCAGGGCTGGGCCAATCGCCGTCTTTGTCCCGCTTTCTTTGGTGGGGATTCAATGGACCCGTTTTGGTGGTGGTTTTGGTGGTTGAAAGATGTGTGTTGTTTTGAGGGGCTACCTTTTTTTCTGGTTTGCAAACGGGAATCCAAAAGGAAAGCCATCATTTTCGGGGTCCTTCGGGTTTCTTTCCGAACAAGTTTACAAAATACTTCCCGGTTCGACAAAAGAAATTGAAGGGAATGAGGGAATTGCTCTTACAAACCATCCAACTGGTGGTTTCCTTATTTCGGGGACGAAAGCCTGGGTTCATTACATGCAACTCATTCCCCACCGATGTCGCACCGATCACAAGTTTTTCATCTTTGTTCGATGGTTTAAAGAGTCGTTACAAGGGTTCATTCCCACATGGGTATGGGTCAAAATTAAACCAGCAGGGTACCTCAGGTTTTGGTGCATGTTTCCACTTACTAGGCTTCCATTTGGGGGTTACACTATTTTTGACAGCCACAGCCACAGCCACCCTCAGCCCTTATAAGTACCCAAAGTGGAACCCTGGTACATGGAACCAAGGGCTAAAACCTGCGGTTGCCCCCACATGGTTTCATTTTGATTTTTCACCACAGCCACCCGAGTCGCAGACAGATCTCGGCGCCTCGGCGCCTCGGCGCGGCCACGCAGCTGCGGCTGAGGTGCTGCTGCTGGGCTCCTCCCAGGGCGGCAGCGTGGCCTGTCACGCCGCGCTCACCGCTGCCACGCCGCTGGCAGGCGCCGAAGTCGGCGGGAGGGGAAGGGGGGCCACAGGGTGTGTGAGAGGTCCCTTTCAACAAAGGAAAGGAGGAATGGTCTGGAAGTTGGGCCAAATACTTGCCAAAGTAGGGATGTCCAGTAGGTTTCCGAAGGACTTTGACACCAGTTTGCTTGAAAGTGGGTGGATTCCGGTGAGGAAGGGTTCCAGTTGTTTGCCAGTGCCAACATTTTTTTTCAGAAAAGGACACCCAGGCCTTTGATATTTGTTTGGCGGGAAACAGGAAGCCGGCCGCGCAACTGGCCGGTGTTCAGGGCAAAACTAGGCAGGCCACTTGAGAAGAGGAGCGACAAGTCACATTGTACAAGGATGTGAAGGTGTAAAAAAAACAAAACAACGAAACCCAATGGCTTTCATGAAGCGCCCAAGACCAGCTGCAGGTGTGGCCATGCTGCGGTCTCTGGTACTCAGCCGCTGGGATTCGGAATTCGAGCTGCTGGGTTGAGACGATCGGCGCTTTGCCGCCCGTTTCTGGGGGGGGGGAGGTCAGCGAGTAATTTTCAGGCCGTTTCTGGGGGTCTGGGGGGCGTCCAGCCAGTTTTTGTTCGGGCCATTTCTGGTGATCAATCAAAGGCGCGGATGGTTCAACAAAAGCAGAGAGGCCAATGGCGGGGTCGGGCTTTGGTATTATGGATGTGGTTCTTCCGTTATGGAGGTTTCTTGTTTGATGTTTTTCTTGGAGTGTTTTTTTTTCAAAATACTGTTCCAAGGCGCAGTTGTATTTCGAGTGGATCAAAATCGCATTTTACACTGCGATGTGTTCTTCCATGTGCAGCCATCTTCACTTACCAAGCCGTTCTATTTGCCGCCTGCGTCGAATAACCGGGGAGGTATGGAGTGTGTCCGGCTGAGAGAAGCCAAGGTTTGCTGTACCCGAGCAAAAGCTGGAATCGACCAGGACTGTTGGCATTTTTTGTTGGAGCTTCAAACTCGTACTTCAAAACCAACATGCCCACGCTGCGCTTGCTTCAACACCAGGAAAACGCAGCGACATAGCCACGCCGGGAGTTGTGTTTGTAAGTGTCAAAGGATGGCACGCCTTGCAGGCCTGGACCTGTCACAGTTCACCACCTTTCCAGTCACGGCCGCAAAACCCGGGAATTGGAGGGTAGTAAGGGACAATCCCAGCCATAAATGGGTGCAGCCGCCTTGGTAATCTAGGATTACGACCATTTTAATACTGGGTTTTGATTGCGACTCAGGTGATCAAATAGAACAAACGCTCAGTTGTCTACTTATGGTTGCTGTGAGAGATGAACATACCGAGACTCCCGCAGATAGCGCGCCTCACTAAGTCGGCAAAGCATAATTTCACAGCTACCTCATGGTTTATTTGCCCATTGAGTTAAAGGAATTTTGGTTCTGACCATCATGACCATTGGGGATGCTCAGTGTTTTCCATGGTGGCAACGACGGTTCTTGATAGCACTTGGATGGGTGCCAGCATATCTTTTACAACCGGCAATGGGCTCCGGCTTGCTGCTCGAGGTGCAACGGCAAAGGCGGCAGCCACGCGGCAGAAGCTGCCGCTTCTAGCGGTCAGTGGCGCTTCTGATGCTGCTGGGCATGTGAGCCCCCGCCCACCCACCCCACCCTACCCCCCCCTCTCCACCCCACCCCGCCCCACCCAACCCCGCCCCGCCCCGCCCCACCCCGCCCCGCCCCGCCCCGCCCACGCACAAACAAACATGCCAAGACAAGCCCGCGTATAGACGCCAGTCCCTGGTACCCGTTCGGCGGGGGAGGGGCCACTGAGGACGTGTTCCTTCTGCCGTTGGTGGAGCGCAACTTGAAGAGCATCGCAGGCTTTGCGCAGGTGAAGCATCAAGTCATCGAGGCGCGAATCTGCCGGCTTTGCGGTTTCCCAGTCTTATTGGAGGTCGGCTAATGTCGGCTACTTTTTTTTTGAGAAGAATAACGTCATGTGCAGAGAGCGAGTATGTACCTTGTTACTTATTGTCCTGTTCTCGTGGGAATTTGACACCCTCATTCATGGATGCCCCAACCGCGATTCGCTCTATGTCTTAAGATGCTGGCTGCTTGTATGAAAAAAAAGCGAGCCCTCTTGCGGGCAGTTTTGATCAGAGCCGGCATGGCAGAAACCAAGCAGCTACACTGGGAGCTGGGAACGGAGAGTCCTCATTGCAATCCGCTGAAGTTTAGCCATGGCCTGTGGTTGCTTCGCTTGCAACATGTGGTTGTGGCTAAAAAATGGTACCTGAAATGGCCCCTCGGTACATGGAAACAAAGACCAACACCTGCGTAACTCTGACTCTTTAACTTTGAGCCACAGCCATGTGGCTTGCTTTGAGCGCAAGGCTTAAACATGTCGAATTTCTCGGAAGGTTCAAAAGCTGGCTCACGGGGGGCGTTGGGAGTCGAGCAAGTTTACGCTTCGCTTCCCCGCAAGTGGAGAAGCCTGCTGGTGTCCATTTCCCGTGCCTTCCTTTCTTCGGGGAATCTCCAGATTCATTCCCTTCCTCATTCCCTACCGATTTCGCGATCGCAAGGAATGGATGAATTTTCACCACCCCACCCCACCTTCACCCCCACCCCACCCCACCTTCACCCCCACCCCACCCCACCTTCACCCCACCCCACCCCACCTCCACCCCACCCCACCCCCACCCCAAAGCTTCGGAGAAGCTAGTGAACTGGATATTAGGGTCAAAATGAATCCAGAACGCAGATCGTCTTCCATTTCCCAGGGCTCCATGTGGATGTTGGGTACCCCTTTTTGACCCACAGCCAATTGGCCGCGCAGAGCCTATGGCGAGCGATTTTGGGGCGGATGAACATCCACTTGCCACTTTGGATGTTCACCAGGGGTTTCCTGGGTGTTGACCCACAGCCAACCCAGTCCTTCCGAAGGCTCCGCTCGCTCGCTCCCGCAGGGCTTGGACCACATGACCGAGTACGACGCGCAGGAGCTGGCCCTGGTGGCTGGCTTCATCGCTGAGCGCCTGAAGGCGACCAACAATCGGAAAGAATCGAATCCGTGGGTGGGGGGTCGATTTTTTTGGACTAAGCCGAAGTTGAAGCTAAAGCAACAGCTAGTGTTTTTTTTTTGGGGGGGGGAAGTACCGCAGGAAGCGGATTTTTCACACCAGTTGGAGGCTGGGAGTTAACCGGTCCGGATGATTTTGGTTTACTGATTTAGTGTCCTGTTTCCCGTTGCCGGGCAATTGTTTGACCTGGGGTCGAATGAAAGCAACCCTGTTCAAGGTGCCGAAAGTTTCACTTTTGCGGGGACAAAGAGGAGCACTGCCCAGGATTTCTTGGACCCTTTGGGTGCGTGGTTTGTGAGAATTTGCGCGGCGTTCCCGTTGGTAAGCGAAATGGGTTGCGTTGCTTTGTGTTGCGTGCCTGCTTGCGTTCCGGCTGGAGCAAGTAGCCAGGAGACGAAGGAGGGTAGCACTGAGACAAGTAAAACACAAAAGATCCCAGAACAAATTCGCAAAGCCCTCTTTGGGGGCTTGTCCAATGATTTGTGTTGCTCATTTCGGATTTCTGCGAAGCCCTTAGCAGTTTGTACTGACCTCGGCTTCGCAGGAGCCCAGCACCCTCGCCAAAAACTTGGGCGCCCCTCGTTTCTTGGGTAAGGCAACTCTTTTTCTTTGGTGGGTTGTAACGGGAAACCCGAAAGGAAGACCACAGTTTTGGGAGTGCCTTAATTTAAAGCCCACCCCCATTCAAAGTTTGGGGTGTGCTTTTTGTGAGGCCGAACCGTCTCTTGAAGTTTGTTCGGACTGGCTCAGATTCAGCAGATCGGCATGTGCGTCTGCGGACTGAGTGCGATGATTTTGAGAGACGGTCCTGTGTCAAGAATAGGTATAGCAAGGCAAAGGATCGAATGCTCCGTATACACGAATTGTTTCATTTGTCTTTGCACGGAGCAGTAAAATGAAGAGCAAGATACACAACTAGCTGCTGCTCAGTAGGGAAGGAGTTGGAATGCCTCGGGAAAAAAAGAAAGCAACATCCAACTGGTGGTTTCAACCTTCTTCTTTTTTTTTTTTGGGGGGGGGGGGGGGGGCGAAAGCCTGGGTTCATTCCATGCAACTCATTCCCTACCGTTTTGCACCGATCCCAAGGTATGGGGTAGGCTCCAAACGCGGAGACCCAAATAGACAATCATGCCCTTAACCCCTTGTGGTAGCGTAGTCAGTCAGTCAGTCAGCCAGCCAGTCAGCCAGCCAGTCATCAGTCAGCATCAGTCCGTCAGTCAGCCAGCCAGTCATCAGTCAGCATCAGTCCGTCAGTCATCAGTCAGCCCGCCAGCCAGTCAGCCCGCTAGCCAACCAGCCAGCCAGTCAGCCAGTCAGCCAGCCAGCCAGCCAGTCAGTCAGTCAGCCAGCCATTCAGTCAGCCAGTCAGTCAGTCAGCCAGCCATTCAGTCAGTCAGTCAGTCATCAGCCAGTCAGCCAGTCAGCCAGTCAGTCAAGCCAGTCAGCCAGCCAGTCAGTCAGCCAGTCAGTCAGTCAGTCAGCCAGCCAGTCAGCCAGCCAGCCAGCCAGTCAGCAGCCAGCCAGCCAGCCAGCAGCCAGCCAGCCAGTCAGCCAGTCAGCCAGCCAGCCAGCCAGTCAGTCAGTCAGCCAGCCAGTCATCAGTCAGCCCCAGCCAGGCAGTCAGCCAGTCAGCCAGCCAGCCAGGCCAGTCAGCCAGCCAGCCAGCCAGCCAGCCAGCAGCCAGCCAGTCAGCCAGCCAGTCAGCCAGCCAGCCAGTCAGTCAGCCAGCCAGCCATTCAGTCAGTCCGTCAGTCATCATGACTCAGCCAGCCAGTCAGCCAGCCAGCCAGTCAGTCAGTCAGCCAGCCAGCCATTCAGTCAGTCCGTCAGTCATCATGACTCAGCCAGCCAGTCAGCCAGCCAGCCATTCAGTCAGTCAGTCAGTCAGTCCGTCAGTCTCATCAGTCAGCCCCAGCCAGCCACTCAGCCAGTCAGCCAGCCAGCCAGGCCAGTCAGTCAGTCAGCCAGCCAGCCAGCCAGCTAGGCAGTCAGCCAGTCAGTCAGCCAGTCAGCCAGTCAGGCAGTCAGTCAGCCAGCCAGTCAGTCAGCCAGCCAGCCGTCAGTCAGTCAGCCAGCCAGCCGTCAGTCAGTCAGCCAGTCAGCCAGTCGTTCATTCCATGATCGCAAGATACACCCGGCAGACCAAAGTCGGGGGCGCCGTTTATGCGTTCTGCCAGCAGGCGCCATTGGGTTCCGACCTCAAGGCGCGGCTGGCGCAGTGGACGTCAGCCCGCTGCCCCCGGTCTAAGGCCGGGTGAAGAAAAGTTGAATGCCATAGGTGTCCTTTTTGCTTGTTTTGGTCGAAAAATCGATGGTGATTCCTGGTATTTACCTGGTGAGTGGCAGGTCTGAGTCATGGAAGGCAGAGAAAGACAGATGGGCATTTTTTCATAGTGGTTGCATCATGTTTAGGCAACTTCCAAGCTTTCTGAGCCCATAAATCCTTCTTCTTCTTGCTGGTGCGATAGGTAGAGAATGAGAAATGGAATGACCCTTGTCAACCATCCAACTGGTGGTTTCCTTTAAGGGGGAAGGGTTCATTCAAACATTCGCTAGCTATCGGACCAGCAGGTTGTTTCATCTTTGTGCCTGGCAACAGTGGAAACATCAGCAACTTCCAGGCGTTCAGGGCCCAAGCCTTCTTTTTCGTCTTCGTTTTCCCGTGAGAGGTCACCAGTTTGGATTCCTCCAGGGCCTGGGAACCCCCCAGCGCTTCTGTGGCGCTCGGCGAGGCCTGGGAGCAGCTGACGGACTCGGAGCTGCGCATGGCGCGGCAGCTGGGCTGCAGGTGCGCGGCCAACTGGGACGAGGCCAGCGCCAAGGTCTGGGAGCTGCAGCTCGGCACGGGACGAGCTGGGAACTGAGGGAAGCGACTTCCGTTGGAGGCGAGCCTGTCCCACTTGCCCAGTGGATTCCGCCCCTTTTTTTGGTTCCTGGTTTTGGGGAAGGGCTCCCTTTAAACTCAACCAACCCAAAAAGGATGCCCTTTTCTTCCCATTGCCACTGGGCATCTGAGTGTGCACAAAGCCCCTCTTCCAAGAAGAAAGCCGTCTTTCCCCCGAAAAATTATGAGCACAAGCCCCTGGAATGTTGGTGGGAGGGTCTTAACAAAAAATCACGGCGGAGGCCCTGATTTGGGACCTCCGCTCACGTGCCCCTTCCAAGGGTCTCCTCGCTTGGAGGCGAATTACCCCCAAACATGGCCAAAAAAAAACCCACAAAT